ACCCCTCTACATTCTATGCAGTCAATTAGACGTGTTTGGTATCTAAAGAGTGCTTCTGTAGTTCTGCTCTGGAGCTATAAGGCTAATGCAGCTAATAAGTAATTAAAGCTTGTGCCTTACCAATTAGCATTGTGCAAACTGCGTGCCTAAATCATCACCCACTTGCCTCAAACCATGTCGAGTTGTTAAGTAATCTCAAATAGACTTACTTTTGTGGTTTTTGACAGTGTATGACATATTCTTATCTATAAACTGGACAGCATTAGCAGTCATTTTGAGGGCAGAATTTCTTCTCCTATTGGCCAACTAAAGAACTGCTGCTTCAATCTACATAATGCAGGATTTCATGGACTGTTTATGTTGCATTAAACTGTTAAATCAGCAACATAGGTTTTTCATCTTCGACTAGAAGTACCTCATAAATTGGCTGAAGGCCTTATAGTTGGTTAGCGTGCGGTAATCCTCCTCAGTGAAGGTGTGATCCACATCCTCTAGCCCCCAGTCTTTTGCTAGCTGAGCAGATGTCTTCTGTTCTACAGGCTGTAGGAGAGATGTGACCAAACAATGCTACTGAAAACATGAACAATGTTGTTGTTAAAATTTTGCATTCTAAAAACAACAACAGAGTTATCTGGTAAGTATAATTTGAAATTAATTTGTCCAGGGTTTAATCTGAAGTAAAATGCTGAAATAGGTATAGTGAAGCCTGCATGTAACTGAAAGAATCTTGCACCAGATCACTACAGGAAATTAAGCCTAACTATCATTAAAAGCATAAGAAAGAATCAGCTGTTTTTACTTTAGTGGTCTCCTCATGCGTACTATCGTCATCATCTTTCTTCTTTTTCTTTGTCTTCTTTTCTTTCTTGTCTTTGTGTTTCTTTTTCTTTTTCTTCTCTCCTCCATAATCGCTAGCAGCACTGTCAGAGTTCACTCCAAAGTCTTGTTCTGAGTCCCGCTCTACATCGCTTTCCTATAGACAAGAGAATTTTTTATTTTTAATTTTTAACTCCTTATTTAAAAATACAAGATAAAATCCACTATGTATAAGGGGGATATTTTCTCAGCAAGTTGGAGCAACATACAATTTTTTTGCGCTTGCGTGCTTTGGGGGTCTTGCCATCTTTTTCTTTCTTCTTAGTCTCCTTCTTCTTCTTGGGACCCCTCTTCTTCTTTCCCAGAGTGTCCCTATCCGAGGCCTCACCCCCATCCTCACCATCATCTAAAAAGGGGGACATAGAGGGAGGTGGGGGAACATATAAGAAGAGTGGTGACTAAACAGGACTGACAATAATCCGTTACAAAAGCTGAAAATTATCCCTTTAATCGCTTCCCAATGCAATTAGACTCAACAATGGTGTGACACTTGGGAGCATCGCAGGGGGTGCTGGAGCAGACCCCATCACTGACGACTTACGTCTCATTCAAACTCTGACCCGCACTAAGATGTGAGCTTTAAGGAGCGAATCTAAAAAGCACAACCATGTATGTGGTCTGATTAGGCATGAGACCATAAAAGGGCTTCAAAAAAATGCTGAGGGTGCTTAACATGGTCACTATCATTATTCCAAACACAATAATACAGTACATGCTTCACTCCAGAAGAAAAGCAGCTGAACATGTATTTGCCTGAAAGGTAAAAAAGGAGAACGAGTGAGAAAAAGAGACATTTATATATGTAAACAGATAGGGCTATAGCCTGCTGCACTTTCCCCTTTGGTCTACTGTTTAAACAGTAAGGATTTTTCCTCTGTCCAATTTAGTTACAAAAGCCTTGTAAAATATGATACATTTTTACTATATGTTCTTACATTCAACTGGGATTAACTTACATGAAGTGTGCTTTTGTTAACGTGCGTGTTTTTTTAATCTTTAAAATGCTAACAAAGCTAGAGGCAGAACATGCTGTCAATAACCAGTTAATGAACAACTACAAAGCTTCTTCGTTTTCACCACACAGTGTGAAAGCAGAAAAGCGCTGCCTGGTTCGGTGTTTTCGGTCCTTTAAGGAGAAAAAACAAGCTAATCGGTCGCCATTGCACTCAGCAAATTAGTTCGCTTTTCTTCTCGTCCGCCTTTGTTGCTAGGACGCAGCGGGCGGGAGCGAGCGCGAGGCTCTCTCTCCGCGCGCTTTTTTCTCGCGCCCGGCTGGCCTCGCGCAGCCAGAGGCGGCAGCAGCGCGCACGCGGGTCTCGGTGATCGGGAGGCCGCGGCCGCGAGCCACGCGACACGAAGCGCGAGGGAACTGCGCCTGCCCACCCGCCGCGGGGTCTCCTCACCTGGGAGCGGAGCGGCGGGCGGCGGGCTGCTGGGGGTCGCCAGGGGGTTACAGAGGGCGCCAGGGGGAACGAGGAGGGGTAATTGATTCGCGCGCGTCGTTGCAGCACGTTTTTTTTTTTCTTTTTGCACAACTGCAATAAGGGCCCTGACCAATACAAACAACGTCCCTGTATGAATGCGCAGCGACCCGTTACCCCCATATAGCACAATCACATGCACTCCTTTAATCACAGAACCCAGACTCAGGCTGCGCGCTCAGACTTTCCCCCTCTGCGTTTTGATTAAGAGACACATTTGCATGTAGGTCAGCTTAACATGGGGCTCAAACAAATGTCAAACTGTTATTTACATATTTCATACTATCTTGTTCTGTCTGCGAGATCAGCATGGCAACTCCACAACATTATCTGTGCCCCATCACAGAAACACAAACATCATTTGCATACAGGTCTGTGTTTGTGTTGTTGATGCCAACAACAAGAGGAGACTGCGTAGGACCTGGGTTATTACTGAGCGCTGAATAGAAACGAGCAGGTTTTAAGTGATCTTAAGAGGTCTGTCCTGCCCTGAACCGCTGCCGTCGGAGTGACAGTGGGTCGGGTCAAGTTTATTTACAGTCTGTCACAACACCACTGTCTCAATCAACCGGTAGTCCTGTGAGCTCTGCACGCTCCCGCAGTGCCGCCAAGGCGCTCGCCACTCGGCGGCTCGGGCTGCCCTGCTGTCCGCTCATGCAGACACAGCCTCGGGTGGCTTTGCGAAAACCTCAGAGCAATAACCTACGTGGCGGCGGCGTTCGTGAAGTGCTCAGACACCGAGAAGACAATAGCAGCGTTTTAAAAAGTGGGATAAAGCGGCTGAACCGAGCGAGCGGGACGCAGGCAGTGGGGCACTGGGAAACTTTAGTTAAACTCTGAACTCCACCGGGGTTTATCTACAGGCTAAGCTAGCACAGAAATGCCGTGAGCGAGCGCTACAGGCGAGCAGGCTACTCAGCAGCGCAGATGTTGTCCCCCCATGCTACGGGTCACACTTTTTTTCTGGGTGAAGGTAAAGCTAAATGCTGCGTTTTGTTGTCTGTCGCTTTCTCCTCGGCGCGCTCCCCGCAGCTCCCCCGTGTCTGCACGGTACCTGGCGCGGCGAGGGCTGCTGCAGTTTCTCTAGGCGCCGCCGGCGAGTTTATGTCGCTTGCGTTCTCGTCCAGGTCCCCGTCGTCTTCTTCTTCTTCATCAAAATCTCCTCCCTCGGAATTAACCGCCATGCCCTCATCTTCCTCACAAGAACGGAGAGGAGAGGACATTATATTCCTGTCAGCGACCCCGTCCTCGAGATCAAAAAGTCTATTCCTTCCGAATTATGATATTTATTGAATATTCAAATCGACACACGGGGAAAAAGTGGGGGGGCGCTTTGGAATATTTTACACTACAAGGCAGAGAAACAAAGATGGCCGCCCTTATATTTATTTTTTAACAACCCCCCCAATAAGAAAAATCCCCTTACATAAAAAATGGCTGACTATATTATTTCAGAACGCCCCCCCCCTCCTCCTCCTTTCTCTCTCTCTCACTCACTCTCTCTTTCTCGCACTCTCTCTCCCGTTTCCCCTCCCTCCTCAAAAACATTCACATTGTTCCAGCAGAAAGGGGGTGTATAGCTGATTCTAAGTTGTATTTTAACTCGTTAACTCTTTTTTTCCCCTCTCACTCCCTCTCTCTCTCACCGACTTGGCTGCTGACTGTCTCTCTCTCTCTCTATGTGTGTGTGTTTTTTCTGAGAGTGCACGCGGACGCTGGTGTTCACTCTCGCACTCTTTCTGCACTGCAGAGAGCCGCACAAATCTAACAAATATGGCTACCTTAATAGTCTTAAAGGCCCCCGCCGATGTATGAAAAACTATTTCGGAGCGAAAGGGTTGCGCCGTGGTCTCGTCTGGCTGGAGGCTGGAAAGAAAGGTGGGGTTGTGCTGCAGCCATGCCCAGATTTACATCAGATTGTGTTGCTTAAAAATTAACCATTTAAAGCATGGATGGAACAAGACACTTGCTTATTCTCCTTTAAATAAAAAGGGGGTAGATTAGAGAGCTGGGAAAGCTCAGTTCCTCGCCTCAGATTCAGATTTTTTTTAGTTAAATTATGTCAATATGAGTAGAACAAAATTTGGTCTGCTGCCTGAATGCCAAAGGGACTCGCATGCAGTTAGTTTCACTTACTGGATTTAGCAATGTGTTACAAAGCATCTATTTAGCAAATACTCTTGTACAACAGTCACTCTGTTGTTCCCCTCTTCCTCCAAAAGATCTTTCTGCATACTGTTTTAAAGAGTGTGTCAGCTGTGTTTGTTTTATCCTTGAAGATCAACAAGTAATTCTCACTTTCAATGGTATGTAATTAACTTATAATAGAGCTCTTGTTAAATGTTGAGATGTTAGTAGATTGTCTTCAGATCTCACAACGATGCATTTTCAGCAATATTTCAATAGAAACGTGAGGGCTACTTATTAAAATTGATGCAAAAATTACGTAAAGCAATATTAAAGTAATCTGTCTCTACAGTAAACTGCAAGCACAAAAACATCATGAATTATTGTTATTATGAATGTCGTGTTTGATGCTGAGCTGATGTTCTAAAACACCAGCTACTGAATTTTATATGAACATTTACCATGGCAACTGTCAGTCATCATTATGGTAATATCATGTGTCATGGTACTATGGTACTGTGTGTTACGGTGTTTTAATTAATAATGTTCATTTGGGGAAAATACAATAATGGGGTCAAGAATTAGGGAGACAATGAACACTGCTGTCATAATGCTGCACTGTAACACAATTACAATTTATGATAAGGATACTGCAATATCTCGAAACATCCACTCTTAGAATGCAATACTGATCTAAGTTCAAGGTTCAGTTAGGTCATCATTGAAGTAAAGACATATGGATTGAGTGTAGAGGTCACGATCCATGCGACACTGGTAGAATTCCTCATCCTCGTCTGGGATGCCGTTTTCACTTAGGTTCTTGCTCATATCCAGATTGACACCGTTGTGCTTCCAGGTGTAGCTGGCCGCATGGGAGTTGTAGCGCAGGTAACGCTGCAGAATCTCATTTAGAGTTTCCTCAGAACATACCTTGCCAGAGAACAAAGGCAGAGAAAATATTTAGGTACCAGCCATATTCCTGATGTTATATATTCATAATACAGTGCAAACTAAGAGTTTTTTTTATCCATCAAGCAAAATGGATTCTGCCAAATTCCTTCACTTATATGAATTATATAAGCAGAGCCTCCTGGATCTACCAAAAGAGAGGGAAGGAATTTGTGTCAGTTTGATCCAATGGTGGTGCACTGCCAAGAACCACTGGAGAGGGAGGGGGGAAAGGGGAGAGTACAGAAAGGGGGTGGTTGGGAGGGTATAAGAGAAAGACAATAGGAATGCTCGACTAAGCCTTTGGACCATGCAAAATAGCCTGATGCCAGATGGGGCATGTAGCAGGAGTGTGCTTGCCCACCCTGCAGAGAGCCTGGTGGCCACTGGACTGCAGGGCTAAAGCACCAGCCCAGTCTTGGACCACTTGCATGCCCAGAGGCACAACATCAGTAACATTTCCCTTTGTCAAGCAGGAGAATCAGATGCAGAAAGCGAAGGGAGGGTGAACAGAGAAAAAAAAAGTGAGGAACAGAAGAATAGACCAATCCTGCCCTCTTCAGCTTGCAAAAGCACAGTGCAACTAACCTACTTGACAAAAGGAAAATAACAGATGCATTCATACATTAATTCACAACTGTTTGTGTGCTCTATACATCCAACATTTCTTCTGAAATCATGGATATTTGTAGTCTCTACTTTTCTAAGAAGGCTTTCCGCTAGCTTGGACGAATAACGTGAGGATTTGATTACATTCAGCCACAAGACCACTGGTAAGGTCAGGTACTTCTGTGGATGAGTAGTTCTGCATCACAAACATAATTCATCCCGAAGTTATTCCATGGTGCTCCATCACTCCAAAGAGCATTGTTCCACTGCTCTATAGCCCAGACCTGGGGGCTTTATATCCCTCTAACCGATGAGTTCCTTTTTAAATGGTCTTTAGGAAGTTTCTGTTCTCACACACACACACACACACACACATTTTCTAAACCATTTGTCCTTCTGGGTTGTGAGGGGGGTCTGGCAGCCACGGAGAGGAAGGCAGGATACAGCCTGGACAGGTCACCAGTCCATAGCAGGGCACACACAGAGACATATTCATCCACACACACAATCACACCCAGGGGCAATTTAGCGTGCATTATCTTTCTGGGGCAAAAAAATGTGTGTGGCAGAGGATCTGCAGGAGTTGAGCCCATTCATTATAATGGAGAAAAAGAGGCTGTTTGTGTGAATAATGCCAGAAAGAGATGAACATTAGAGTCCATGGTTGTATTTTTTGCAACATTCATAAACAATGCTTCAGATTTGTGTGTGTACATCTTTTTGTTTGTTGACATTTTTAAATCACTAGACATGTTAGGAATTAATTAAGACTATAACAGCTCGAGTATTTACTTGGTAGATTGCTAAATCTGTTCCAAAACACAGCAAGGATGTCAACAGGAAGTGGACATGTGATTTAACTTTGGCGTGTTGTCAAATATAGAAGTGACGCTAAGATACAGTTCAGCGTTAATTGATGAGAGCTGTACTTTTAGTCACAGGTAGTCAGAGAGGCCTACCTCCAGTCTTTGCTCCTGTGAGGTGAGGGTGTTGATTATGCGAATCCAGCGGGTCTTACCGGACAGCAGGCCCACCTCGTAGCGGCTATCCCTCCACCACGGCCTCCCGAAATCATTAGCCCAGTCCGTGCGAGGGCAGGGAGGGGGCACATGCACGAAGCGCCCCCTAGGGGTGAAGTATTTCACACAGCCAGATAATGGATCGATATGGGTACGAATCTGAGCAAACAGACAGTCATTTTCACTCTACAAGTTTCGCGCTAATGAAAAAAACCGAATTGAGTAAATGATGGGTGCCGAGCGCAGAACAAGTCTGTTAGCTCCCTATACTGCAGACAGGCATACTGATGTTGTGGTAAAATTGCTTACATCTTTCGTTTTTGGGTCAAACCAGTGACTGATGTCTTTGCCAGCACATTCAATAATTGGTTTCAAAAGTACATCGCCTACAAAACAAACACAGAATGAAGTAGCGTTAGGTGTGGTCGAGGCGGATAGACTAGAGGTAACGTAGCTAACTAACCTACAGAACAAGCATATTGCTAGACAGCCTACTTGATACTTTGAATGCAGCAAATTATTATAGCGGTTTTTTTCAGCGAGAGAAACTCAACTAAGCCGCTTACCTTTATATTCTTCAACCAGTGGGGTCAAGTTGTAAACCTTTCCCAGATATGAAACCCACAGGTCTCCTATTGTGCTGTGCAGGGACACTTCAGTCGGTGTGAAGTACTTGGGCCTCCGCATTGTCATTACAGTGGCAAAGCAACAGAAACGCGGACACGAACACCACAATATTTTATGGTAAAGTAGCAGCAGTGAAGTTAGCTAGGTTAGGTTAGCTGGTTTAGCTCCCGGAGGCTCCATTACTCACTATACATTTAGTACTGCTGAACTCTGTACACAAGACTGTTGCTGTGGCAACACCGCAGCAGCGTCTGACCTGCTGAGGAGCGGAACACACAGGCGGAAAGCGAGTGTAAAAGTAAAGTAAAATATGATATTATATGATTATATGATATTATATTCTATATATATATATATATATTATATATATATATACACATATATACACACATACATACACACACACACACACACACATACACATATATGTAATTGTTTTTTACATTACTAATTTACTTTACTAAATTAGACCAACTTTGCTTTATGGAACCTGAGAAAAATATAATTACACTTATTTACACAGGCAATTTTATGTACATAGAGCTATGGCATTCACTTCTAGCGTATTTTTTCCACTCTGCAAACTGTTGCTGGAGTTTGCCTACAGAAATAAAATTAAAGTGCACTAAAATTCCGGGACAAAAGGTGTGCTTTGCAGTAATCATTCTTAAATCTTTAAAATGCCTCTACAGTACTTGTGATTCTTTGTAAAGAAACGGCATTGTAAGGGAGTGCATTATTCTGTAGTACATATTACAGATTACACAAGGGGTTAATAGCGGAGCTTGAAGATCCTGAAAACGCATAGCTGAAAATTATAAACAATAAAGGCTGCATTTGAGGCTGGCTGTGTCCGTCAGGCTGTGTGAAGGACGACACTTAGACAGTAGGATCATTCTGAACATACTCTTATTTTAAATAATCCGTCTGAAAAGCAGTTCCAAATGAACAAATTCGTCCTACAAAAGCATAAAATAACTAACTGCAGGCATAAATACCACTTGGAAAACCCAGATCATTAAACCATTTAGTTCAAAGGGGAAGCTGCATTGGCACGTTGAAATAGGCATTGACAGGGCACCAAGAGAAGATCAGTCAGCTACCTAGCATCTAATCATGGCAACTGCATTAGACAAAACATCACAAATTTCCCACCTTTTCTCTGCAAGATAATTATAATATCTCATTTAGTCTGTAACAGCTTGGAGTGCTAAAATGATATAACTGGTTCATATCTCTAAAGTACAAACCTTTAAATAAAGTGGGACAGTTCCATGGAAGGTTTAACAGTGTTTTGGACTATGGCAATGCTATGATTCGAGGCTCTGTAGCCAATTTGCAAAGAAACTGACAGTAATAAGAAGACCTGTAGATTTTCAGCTCATTCAGTAATAACAGCCAGTTCTGCTGTTTGCAACAGGAACAGACAACAGAAAAGAAACAGAAAACAACACGTGGCCAAAAAGGTTTGAAAAAGAAGCATGATCAACCTCATTCGAACAGAAAAGAGCTTATGTCATTGTCTGCTTTGAAAACTAAATTGATTAAGTGCACACAAACGTGCAATACTGATTTAACATTTAACAGACTGGAGTGTCCGGACTGAATGTTAAAAAGGCCAGTATGTGACATTTCTGTCACAAATACATAACTTTATATATACTGAAAACAGAATCTATCAACTACTCAGTTAGAGAAAACCTGGAGGGCAAGGCTGGTAGGGCAGTAGAGTAGCACACAGATTTGTGTGACAGAGAAAGAGAGAGATAGAGAGGTAGAGAGAGAGAAAGAGATGTAGCATGAATGCAAAAGCAAGATGAGCTAAAAATGCCACAGAGTGAGGGTCAGCTGATAAATTTCTTCAGCCTCAAAAATACTCCAAACTAAATTAGACTTCATTCATCACAGCCATTTACTGCATGGCGTCACGCAAACACCCGTCAAACAACTTTCCTATCACATAAAAGTGACTGATTCCTTAAGAAGTGCAGAACAGCCTGCATATTCAAGTCAAAATTGGCTCACAAGCAACCCTTTGATAAGAGCCAACTGTAACTCAGTTTGAAGAATAAACGCATTCCTCTTCCCAGCCCTCATTTGTGGGCTTTTTGATGAGTCCAGTCCATTGTCCGTTACTACTATCGTATCCACAGTATCCCATGGTGTAGCCTTATTAGTTGTAGTGGAATTTGAAGTGGAAGTTTCCACCCTGGAAGGGGTTGAAACCAAAGGGCCACTCTCCTCTTCCTCCTTCTCCCTGCTGGTTCTCGGGGTCCAAGGGGTCTTCGCCCGAGTCAAATTTCTGACGCATCTCTGAAGAATAAAACAAAACCGAACTTAGCAATAGCCTGGTGGATTGCTGCACTTCTCACACATTTGAGTAACTGTGAAATTGTTTAGCATGTTCCTGATTCATTCTTATTAGGTAAACATACATTAGCTGGCCTGTTTTAATTAGATCATTAATATAATAATAAGTCATAAGTTACCTGGATCTGTTAGGACCTCTTTAGCTGAAGCAATGTCAATGAACTTCTTCTCAGCCTCCTTCTTTTCCGCTTCAGACTGGAAGTTGTCTGGATGCCACTGCTGTGCCAGTTTCCTGTATGCTTTAATGACTTCCTGTTTGTTAGCACTCCTAAGAACAGAGAGTGGAAAACGGATTAGACCTTGGAATAACGTAGATCTTGTTAAAAGCAAGTGCATAAAGAATGTACTAGAACAACTGCTGATAGAAAACCATAGCAGCATTACATGCACATACAATAAGCCTAACAGCATGTCCATACCGACTCACTCCCAGGATTTTGTAGTAGTCCCTCTTGCGTGAAAGCTTCAGGAGTTTCTGTGCACGTTCTAGACCCTCACGGATTTCCTGGCTGTCCTGGTCAAACTCTCGTGCCTCCTGATAGTCCTCCACAGCTGAGAGAAGAAGAAGACAGACAATAAGACATTCAGAGGAAGAGCACAGCATCCTTCATAGACAATAAATAGGTTTGACACAGTTTTCTTTTAAATAAAGCTAACCACAAATAAGGTTTTACCTTTCTCATAGTCCTGAAGTTGGATGTAGGCCTCAGCTCTGTCTCTGAGGATGTGGATATTCTGAGGGTCTCTCTGGTGGGCCTCTGAACACGTGTCCAATGCCAGCTCTGCCTCCTTAATCTGCAGAGACCACAAGGGGGAAAAGAGAGAGAAACAGAGATAGAACAGAAAAGTGAGAAACTGTATTCAACCTATAAAATGGACACAGAGCATGATCTGAAGACAAAAAACAGATCATTTGAAAATAATTAAGACACTTTCTGTCTAGGCAAGCATATACTACCCCAAAATAAGGTTGTTAAACCATGTACTGGCTTCACAAATTGATATTCTTACAATGTTTGGAACAAAATGATAACTGTATTCATGTCATTACACAACCTACTAATGCAAGTGGGAATATGTGTGGCCTGGAGCTGGAAGAATGACATAACACTGAATGTTCTGGTAACTGTGCTGGTGGGGTTAAACAGACAGCAACCTTTGGTGTTCATGCAATGCAACTGTATTAAATGACATAATTAAAGCTACACTATGTACAATTTGGGGATTTGCAGACCTCTCTGGTGGAAATGTGTAATTGTAACAAAATGTGGAAGAACATTTTGTAATGTTGGTTGTGCTTTGGACTCCTTACCAGAGTGGATGTATCTGGCGATTGCAAACACACTGAAACTCAGTCAAAACTTGGTGAAGGAAGTAAGTGAATGATATACTATAGTATACATCTTCTTCAGTATGATTGTTAATTTTGCATTTGAGACCTAAACAATGAGATGACCTGGGATTATTTTCCCAATCCCCCTTTAATTCCCATTGAAAATGCATCAGTTTAATATGTTTTCTATGGCTGTAACTGAATGGGTCATTAAACTAATTAAGACATCAACCTGTGTTAGCAGTCACCAGCCACATACACAAAACATTAGTTGCTTTTCTGAGACTGGAGTTGGCTTCTTATTCACAGCTGTAGACATCAGAAAAACACTTTGAACAGTGCAGGGGACAAAAACTGAAAAAAAGTAACCTGATAAGGCTACAAATTGAAATCTTGGTCTAAGTTTGCAGTAATCCCTGCTGTGCCCTCCACAAATATTGGCACACCTGGTTAACCTGAGCTAAAACAAGTGTAAAAACATTCTTAAATAAAATAACAATTTTTTAAGTACAATGACTGAAAAAAACCCTAAATCTTATCATGAAATATTTTTTTCTCAAATCTGTGTGTACCACAATTATTGGCATCTCTTCATTTAATACTTTGCGCAGCCTCCCTTTGCAAAGATAACAACTCTTCTGCTATAACACTTCATGAGAATGGAGAACACATGGCAAAGTATCCGAGACCGATCTTCCATACAGAATCTCTCCAGATCCTTCAGAATTTGAGTTCATTCATGGGGTTTAGGTCGGGGGACTGGGACGACCACGGCAAAACCTTAATTCTGTGGTCAGTGAACCATTTTTGTATTGATTTTGAGGCGTGCTTTGGATTACTGTCCTACTGGAGTATCCAAACCATGTATCTGAATAAACTGTCCAAGGCCTTTGGATATAAAAGAGCCCTACAACATCATAGATCCACCACCACACTTCACAGTGGGGATGAGGAACTTTTCTGCATGTCTGTCCACACCAAAAAACCTCTATTCTGGTCTCATCTGAGCATAAAACATGGTCCCACTGAAAGTTCCAGTAATGTTTGGCAAACTGAAGGCACTTGATTTTGTTGGTCCTTGACAGCAGAGGCTTTTTTTCTGGCAACCTCCCAAACAAATTGTGGCCTTATAGCTGGTGTTTGTAGTTTGGGAGGTGTTGTGATCCCAAAACCTATTCTTTGTCCCCTTGAACCATCCTCACTGTCCTTTTTCCTGCAGATTCTTAACATCTCTAGTTGTTTTAAGCTTTTTAATTATTGATGGTAGAAATAGGCATTTTCAACTGTTTAGCTATTTTCTTGTAGCTATTTCCTGATTTTTGCAGCTCAATAACCTCTTGTCGTGCATCATTGCTGTTTTCTCTGGTCTTTCTCATAGTGATGAACGACTGAGGGAATTTGGCCTGTGTTTCATCTCATACATATTCCCCAGGGAAACAGGGAGTCATGGGTGATGATTTAAGTATTCCTTATCACTCAGGTGAACTTCAAAACATAAAACCTTAATGGAAATATACTTCAGTTAGACTTCACTCTTAAGAATTTCTAGGGGTGCCTATAGACTTAATAAAAATATTTAAATAAAGGTTAGATTTTTGCTAATATTTTAAATGAAAGGTCATAAAGGATACGTAATTTACAGCTCATTTTGCTCACAATTACCCGGGGTGTCGATATTTGTGGAGAGCACTGTACAGTTACCAATCCATGTTTTGCTATATGATGAGCAGCAGGTTTGAAATATGTCAGAGTTTTTGTTTTTAACACTGTTGATGTTTTGGGCATAGCTGGAAATTTAGTGCCATCAAAATCACACAGAAATTACATTTTATAAAGAGAAAAAATGGCTGATGTACTTGTTGTCCTAAAAAGCACTTGGGGAAAAGCCAATGTCATAGTACGTCATATGTCCAGAATATTACATACCTTCACTAGACAGAAGCAGATCCTTTCCTTGGCTTTGGTGGTATAAAATGGAATATTTGGCTCTGTCCTCATAACAGACTCGTACTTGTCTATTGCTTCTTGATATCTGTCACATAAATACAGAAATAATTATGATAAAATAATTTCAGTATACTATGAAATATAAGAGAGACTTAAGAGATGAAATTGGTCTGCACAGGAATTCCAAATAACATGAGGAAGAATATCATCACAGTCATTTCAAATTTTAATTTTTTATTACACCATTTAGAATCACAAGTGTTGAACATTTCATGACAAATGGATAAACAGAAATGGTCTAAAATAACTTACAATAAAATGAATATAAATTAAAGCTTTTTTCATTTTTTACAAACTTTTTAGACATAGGCTTTTGGCACAACAGCAAAAATATTTAGTACATTTCTGATGCGCTCTTTCAAATTGACATTAACTTTACAGCAAACTGAAGAGAAGATGTCCTTTTTCACTGATCTATGGTCATGTTTGTAGTATTACAAAGTAATGTGGGTGGAAAGGTTTCTTCTAGAGGAACAACCCAGAGGATGAAGGAGATGATGCAGGATATGCTTACCTCTGTTCTGAGATCAGCTCTTCTGCAGAGTCCATCTGCTTGCTGAGCTTTTTCACCTGCTTGTAGTGTGCAAAACATTCCTTATCATCCTGATCCAGCTTCAGACACTCTCGAATCTCACTGTTGGCCAAACAGGCAGAGCAGAGGGAGAGAGTGGAAAGATTCAGCATGCAAACTGGAGTTTAAAAGTATGTTATTTAAGTGAAGCCTGGAATGTTTAGTATTTTAACAGAGACAAATTGTGGAATATTTAGTGATGGTACGTGTAACATATGCCTTCTAATAGGAGTATTACAAAATGTTGGTATCCAATTTATTGTGATGATACATGTGTGTATGTGTTTATTAACTGTATTTGCGTGTACCTAAGCGAGTTTTGGTGTTCTCCCAGGTCGTATAGCAGGCGACTAAGTTTCAGGAAGGCTGCTCGGTTGTCCGTCCTGAGTCTGGCTGCAGGTGTCAGATCTAATATGGCCTTCCTGGGCTCCCCAAGGCGTATATAGCATTCAGCTCTCATCTCCCGGGACTCTGGATCCCAAGGCGAAAGCTAAAGGGAAAAATAAATAATAAAAATTACTGCTATCATTTCCTACAGTAGGTATTAGAAGCATACTTTCATACAGTCTAAGGCCTGATGAACACAAATAAAAGAATTCCTATCATTTTTATTTTTGTTCATGAGCATAACTGAGTTAACTTATTCTTTCATAACAGTCAAGACAATATGCTTACAGCTATGTTGTACCTACACTTAAAATAGCAAACATCAGCATCAGGTGCTTAAAGAAATAGTTCAGCAATAAATAGTAGTCGATCAGCCAAGACATGTTTGGTGTCCAAAGAGGCTAATGTTGACAACAAATACTAGATGTCATCAGTCACCCAAATCTTTTCTGTAAATACTTCCCTAAAACTTCTCAACCCACTCATTGCATCCATATATTGATTTGATCTGTTGTCTAAAGTGGCTGCCCCCAGCGTTAGGCTACAAGGTGATGTTTTGATAATTTTTATAGTTCATATTAATCAGAGTTGGGGAGAATAGAATAGAAGTGATGGCTAAATATTGAATGCACGGTCCTAACTTTATTCAGTAACGTATTCTATTATAGTACACAATATACTTAGAATACATATCAAAAAGGCACATGGAAAAACTCTGCAGTAATTTTTATTGTATTCACAATGTTCCTCGCTGTTACTGGTTGGGAGTTTTCTTTCATGTAATTTTTCTCTTAATATGTTTCAAGAAAATTCACTTTACATTTAAATGACATAACAAAATTCTCAACATTATTTTGGCTCTCATTACCCACTTCAGTCTGCTGCCGCTCCCACAATCCAAATGCCATCTCATGATCTGAGCAAACAATTCTCCACATTCCAGTAACAAAATCTTGCAAATTTGACAATGAACTGAGTAGCTATGTGATATCCAGATATAACATGTATGTAATTTGGCACAAAACACATGCATGCGTCTAGTACAAGACCATTGCTACACTTATCACTTACGATCATAAGCCCTACTGAGCAGTCCATTCATTTCAGTCAACCCTCAAAAGAATGCAGGAATGCTGAGACAAATAACTGGCTCATCACTTTGAATTATCAGTCGACTTAGGCTTCAGCAAAGCTCAGTAATGCTCAGATAAATAACTGGAATAAAAAATAAACAAGCATTGATGGTGTTTCTTTTAAAAAAAACTATTTTTTTATTTAGGGAATAAATATTGTGAAAATATTCTGCTAAAGAATTAAGTGTAATTATATTGTGAATACTACCTTTTCAAAATGTAATTTGGATGGAATACAAGCACTTAATTTCTGTATTCTGAATATGAATTCCCAATACTTGTATTTTGTTAAACCCAACCATGACAGTAAGTCATATACTCACATCGACAAATCTGAATGACCTTACTGAAGACCTGAATGTAGTTTGAGCAGGTTGGGAGATGTTTTGGGGATCTACAACCCCATTTCCAAAAAAGTTGGGACGCTGTGCAAAATGTAAATAATAATAATATTTTCAGAAGTAAAGATGAGGAGGGGCTCTCTGTGAAAGACTGTGTGGGTAATTCAAGAATAACATTCATCAATGTAAAATAGCAAAGAACTTTTGCTTTTCATCATCTACGGTACATAATAACATTAAAAGATTCAGAGAATCGGAAGAAATCTCGGTATGAAAAAGACAAGGCCAAAAACCAGTATTTGCTGGCCATGATCTTTTGGCCCTCAGGCAGCACTGCATTAAAAACAGGCATGATTCTGTAAAGGAAATCACTGCATGGGCTCAGAAACACTTCTGAAAACCACTGTCTATGAAAACAGCTTGTCACTGCATCCACAAATACAAGTTAAAACTCTAAAATGCAAAAAAGAAACCAAAGATAAATGGGATCCAGAAACGCTGCCACCTTCTCTGGGCCCGAGCTCATTTAAAATGGACTGAGGGGAAGTGGAAAAGTGTCCTGTTGTCTGATGAATCAACGTTTGAAATTCTTTTTGGAAATCATGGACACTGTGTCCTCCGGCCTAAAGACCACTCAGCTTGTTATCAGTGCACAGTTCAAAAGCCAGTTTTCATGATAGCATGGGGTCTATTAGTGCACATGGCATGGGTGACATGCACATCTGTGAAGGCACCATTAATGCTGAATGATAAAGGGACGTTTTGGCAACATACGCTGCCATCCAGACAACGTCTTTTTCAGGGAAGGCCTTGATTATTTTAGCAAGACAATGACAAACCACATTCTGCGAGTATTACAACAGCATTGCTCCATATTAAAAGAGTCCAGGTGCTAAACTGGCCTGCCTGCAGTCCAGACCTGTCACCACTGAAAACATTTGCCTATCCTACATCAAACAAGAATGAAAAAACATTTCACTTTCAAAACTACAGCAATTGGTCTCTTCAGTTCCCAAACACTTATAGAGTGTTGTTAAAAGAAGAAGTGATGCAGCACAGTGGTATACATGCCCCTGCCTCAACATTTTTGGAACATGTTGTTGGCATCAAATTCAAAATGGGCATATATTTTTCAAAAAACAATAAAATTTCTCAGTTTCAACATTTGATATGTTGTCTATGTACTATTTTCCTTTAAAAATATGGTTGATGCTGATGTTTGATACTTTCACTGAACCATTCCTTTAAATAGTGAGTAAGCCCTGAACTGTGCCTTTGTAACTCACCTCTATAACACGGTCCAGCACCTGGATGGCGGTGGTGTAGTCTCCGCGGTGATGGGCCTTGTGTGCCTCCTCCTGGAGCTCTTCTAGCTCCTCAGCTTTGTGGAGCTGATTTTGTGCCTCCTCCTGGTCCGGGGAGCGCTGCAACTATAAAGAGGAAGGAAAGTGGAGGTTATGGGACAGAATAGAGTCCACTGATGTAATGCTGAAAAGATGAGGACAAACTAATCAACTCACTACTGCCTCAAAGTCCTCTCTGGCTTCTTGAGTATTCCCCTGCTTCAGGAGAATATTTCCTCTCTGTATCCGAGCCTGAAAACACACAGACCACAAGAAAGGGCAAGTATGTTACAGACCTAAAACTGAATGATTTGCTCAAAACAAATACACTTGTGTAAAATATGCACCGTGCATTTATTATATATTTAAAATATTTTCATTGTTGTATCACCTTCACTAATAACAAACAAGCCACTTAATAAACTCACGGCCAGGAAGTCCGGTTTGAGCTGGATGGCTCGGGTCAGATCGGGCAGGGCTGATTTAGATTTCCCCATGGCCAGAAACACAGCTGCACGTTTGTAGTAAGTCAGGTAGTTCTTTGAGTCACCCTCTGTTTATGATTACAGTATATTATAAGACAGTATTGAGCAACATAATCATCCTAATAAAATGGCAAAGTCAAGAAATAATACGCCGTTATAGAGGTACGGGATTTTACTTAAAATTCATTCATGGTGCAGTGTTGTTAAAGCAAGATAAGAAAGAAACACAAGGAGACTGTTTACACCTTTCATTAACGTGTGTTTCAGGTATGGACTGTATCTGAATAAACTTCTCATTAACACACGTTCCTAGTGTGGCCAAAAACGCATACCATTTACAGTTATGCTAAATGTGGTCAAGATCCATCATCACTTCCTAATGTGATCTGAGTGATTCGATCATAATTTGATCACAGCGCATCCTGAGGGTGTTTATGCCTGGCTTTTCATATGGTCAAGTGAATCCCCAGTGTGATCCAATCACCAAAAAAACACATGTTAATGCACGGTGTAGACAGGCCCACATAATAATAAGATACGATTAGATGAATAACAGTTGAATGCAGCAATGAGTTTTCAATCTAGCTTTATTAAAAAATTATAATATTTTTATACCTTCAAAATCACTTTAATGTTCACTAAAATGCCAAATAAGCAAAATATGTAATTGTTTGTTCAATCAACACCAATGTTCCATCACTTTCTAAATAGGAGAAATGAAAGTGAAAGAACAGCAGGTCATGTGTCCTTTCCAGGTAGATAATACACTACACATTTTGCATGACACTTTTCTAACATTATCAGAAACATATCCTGACCAAATGACCATAACATTCAAATTTCATTTACATTAATTTCACTGTATGTACATATTTGTGTGCAAATGTCTCACCAACAGCGGAGTGGTAATGGGAGAGGGCCTCAGCCAGCTGTCCTGCTGCCAGCAGCTTGCGGCCCATTTCCAGGTGCTGCTCGATCTCCACAGGAGAGACACCCAACACACCTGAAACACAAGTGAAACTCACTAGTACATCATAATTCATTAAACAAAAAACAGACAGGCAATATAAAACTTCAAGCACTCCTTAAAGCCTTTTTTCCACTCGGCCATACTTAAAGTTCTTCAAACGTGTACCTAAATATACAGACTGATCGGACAACATGAAATAAAAACTACATGTATTGTCACTATGGAGCACGCTACAAGCCCAGGTAAACAAAACCACAGAGACTAGGGGTGGCAATATGATGATATTTTATTGTTATTGTGATGGAATTTATCACAACATGCTTTTTAGAGCATATTGTGGATATTGTCGATACTTAACACTGAACACCTTGACACCTGCATACAGAACATGGTTAGTCATGTTTAACTGGGTTTAGTGCAGAGCAGTACACAAAAGACTGAATAAAAGCCATTGTACTCATAATTTTGCATAGTATTTTTTTAAGTGTGGCACTACTGGGGCTTTTTGTTTGATCCAACTAATCAGACTTCAGAAAAACTAAAAATCGTGAAAATGTCTAAGTATCATGCTGATATGTTTTGTGCCATATTGCCCAGTGCTAACAGAAACTAGACAAGAAGTAACCGGCAGTGTAACACCTGTGAATTACACCTGACAGAATGAGGCATAAGCAATGAGCCGTTTAATAAACCGGTTTATAAATAGGCTATTAAACAGGGCCTTAACCCACTAACCGCTACGTAAACACAAACCAGACTACGCTAGCTAGCGTAGCTAACCAGATAAGCAAAATACTATAAAAGGCATATCTGAATGCTGAATCACAGTACGTCCTGACAGCTATGAGTAAGTAACCTAATATGAGGTTTCATAACTTCTCGGCATTGAATGTTTCCTCGCTGTCCCGCTCAAGGATTCCAGCCTGAGAAGACAGAGCAGAACGCGCTCTGAATTACTTAGAAAAACTTTTATTTTGGATATTTCTGACATTGTGACAAACTTTCAAAAGGCCTGAGAGAATGCCCAGAGGGTTAGCCAGTTCCGGTATCAGACCGAGTCATTCTTCTAAAAGCGAAACGCTCCAGACTAAAGAGCAGTGGTGTTTCTGAGCTGTTTTAGTGTAAGCTGAAGCAGTAACTCAGTTAACTCAGTAACTCGGAGCTGAGTAAACAGTAAACAGTCCTACCGTCCAGCTGCAGGTCCAGCACCACACAGAGCAGGGACAGAGAGGACACCAGGCTGCTCACACCTCTCCGCCGTCCCGGCTCCATTATTTCAAATGTCACACTTCCTCCTTATATCTGTAGGCTCCTGCAAGTACACAACTAACAACTCCCTACAACGAATATCGCAACATTTAATCACAAAATACCCCCAGCCAGCCTAAACATCAGCTCGCCGACGACAGGCAGGCATCTCAGTGTGCTGCTACCAAATAATTCCGACAGCCACAACACAGCCCAAGAACTTAGGTTCCGATACGCTTTTCTGTTCGCACTCTTACGAGCAGGACCGTGTCGGAGTGTTCTGTGAGCTTTCCATTGACTTTGGTTGACAAGAGGGACGATAGTGAATGTCACCGACAGCTGTCAACTTTGTGCTTCAGAGACTTCGTTTGAGGTCCTTGGGCGTAGAATTCAAATCGCCCTACATTTCAGCGCGGTGAGTGGCTGCTCAGGCCGAGCTAACGTCCGTGTTTGTGGAGGCTTAGCCGACGAACGTGGGCACCTCTCATTGGCTGGATTATTTTAACACCCACTTTAAGACACGCCCTTGTCCATTTAAGGAAAGCCATAGTCATCCCCCGGCTGTGTGGTTATTCCTGGCTTTAACCAGGGGGTCTTTGTAGTCAGAGGTGGGTTGCTTAAACCCATGCTCAAGTAAAAGTACTGTTACTTCTCTGAAGAAAATGACTAAACATGTAAACGTACCTTTCCAAAAACAACTTGAGCAGAAGTACAAAAGTAATAGGTCAAAACACTATAGGCACTGAGTATCGCCATAGGTACCGAAGTTTGTTAGACTCTCTTCTTCTCTCATTGATACACAAATGGTCTAAAATAAAGTAATGAAGTCTCAAAAGTGAGAGGTGTAAACAATCACAAAATAGTCCAGATGCTGTCGTCAACCTAACATAATGGAATTAAACATAAAAAGGAATTAGCAACTAAATGTAAATGACAAAAATGTACCTGAGGAAAAAGCAGATTAACTTTCCCCACAAAAGAGTTAAAAGTAAAAGTAAACACTAACTAGTAACTAGCAAACACACTTCTTAACATTTGAGGACCCTAAGTGACATCCTGCTTAGGAGCCATCACTCTGCCCAATCATATTCTTTCATATGCAAGAGTAGGAGAGGAATTAATTAATTTTGATCAAAAAATACTAATCTTTAGAATCACTGTGCATTTTCTACAAACAATATTGAATACTTTTTAAGGAGTACATTCAAAGGCCCATCTGGTGGCTCAGGGGTGCTCAGCAACTGCCTATACCACTCATAGATATCTAAATATATTTATGTCTATGATACCACTTATCATGGGTGGGAAGTAACAAAGTGTAAGTGCTTTTTTACTGTGCTTAAGTTGATTTTTTAAGCATCTGTACTTTATTTGAGTATTCACTTAATACCTTTTACTTACTAAATTTAAGAAGAAAATTCTGTACTTTTTCCTCACTACATTTTCAAAGCAGGCTCAATATCTATGTTGTTTATAGAGGTCTATTCAGGCACCTAGTCAAGCACCAATCTGTTAGCAAATTGAAATCCTACAAGGTGTGAAACTAGAATGGGGGCATGAGGGCAGATGATCCATAATCTGCACATTTCTACAGGTCACCTGTGATTGGCTGCTTCCACAGCCACTGAAGACATGAGAAAAAAGATGAAAAGAGAAGTGGCAGATGTGATGGATAAGACAAGGAAAGAAAGTGATAATGACTAGCCAGCATGTATTCTGGAAGGTGCAAATAGGCCATAAACTAAATATTTACAAGAACTGTTCGACCTGGTTGGTTTAAAAAGATCCTGGCATGTTCTCTACAAAAACACAAACAACTACAAACAAACAAATAATTAGGTATTGTGTACATTTAATTAACACTCACAAGAACATCCATCTTAAAAAATCAATTGGAAACACTTTTGAATAAATACTTTTACTTTTCTACTTTAAGTACATCTAGGTACTTTTATACTGTTAGTAATTGTAAACCATACTTCAGCTTTTACCAGAGTATCTTTTTACCATAGTACTTGTACTTGAGTAAGGAACTTGTGTATCTCTGCCACCTCTCCCACTTACGGGTAAAAAACAGCACTGGTACTTGGTAAAAACAAAATGAGTCAATAGGATCAGACTGGATAACTTAAGCCAACTTAACTTCTCCCATAAGATAGGCTTGAGCTTTGGCTTTCTCAGTTATCAGGTTAACTGAGAAGTTCTAAGAAATTTGTGAATGCTCGTCTTACCCACCTCCCAACTTGTGAAATATTACTAGTGATGTTTTGCTAAGTAAATGTAGAGCTGACGGACAGACTCCTCATTATTTTCCACTACTGAAGTAAATAAAATCAACAGTCTCACATCATTTTTCTTTCTTTTTATTTTACTCTGGTGTAGGCTATATTAGCCACAGACTAACAAATTTTTCATCTACATTGTGAATTACTGACATTCTCACAAAATATTTATAAAAAGCATTGATATTCCTCTACATAGTGAATGTGAGTGCAGCATAATTACAAAACCTGTGTAAAGTTATTATGATTCCAAGGCATTTTCTGTACAACAGATTTAAAAGCTCTGGTATAAAGTTAACTCTCTAAATTGATCTATTTTGAATAGTATTTACACTTTCAAACTGGCATATCTTCTTGATTAGAACTAACCTTCTTTGCCTCCAACTCTGGTTAAAGTCTAAATATTTACATATTTGCACTGATTATGAATGTAAGAGCATACATGTCAACAGACAGTGAGTGTCACATTTTTACATGTTGAATTGACTAAGGTTTGAATAGACCTTAGTGGTCTGGCTGGGTCTTTGATGTTTGATTAGACGTATGCATTCTTGTCATAAGTGCTTGCGGCGTCTCTCCTTGAAGCTGCTCCTGAGTATACTGTCCCCCTGGAAGGCTGGTACGGGTAAGCACTGAGAAAGAGAATATGCACAGTGTGCATATGTGAAATATGCAGACATCCTTGTATATGTGTATGTGTGTGTGTGTGTGTGTGAGAGAGAGAGAGAAAAGAGAGAGAATGAGAGAGTGAGGGTGAGAGAGAGAGAGTGAGAAAGATACTCACGATTTGTTATCATCTGAGTTAGATTTGCAGGCAAACACAAGACACACTCCAGCACAGATGGCAAGAGTCCCAGAGCACCATCCAATGTAGAGTCCCTCTCCTATCTCATACCTGTAGTACAATCACATATAATAGTCACACAGCATTAATACTACTGCACGGACATTATATATATATATATATATATATATATATATATATATACACACACATAAATATATATATATATATATATATATATATATATATATATATATATATATATATATATATACACACACATAAATATATATATATATATATATATATATATATATATATATATATAATTTTATGGTCAGGACCACCACAGAGCAGGTATTATTTGGGGGGTGGATTCCTTCTCAGCACTGCAGTGACACTGATGTGGTGGTGGTATGTATGTATATATATATTTATATATATATATATATATATATATATATATATATATATATATATATATATATGTATGTATATATATATATATACATACACAGTTGCCTTACAGGATAGTTACTTGTTTGTAGTTTGTCTCAGTGTGAGTTCTACTGCCAAGTCCAGTTCCAATTACATGTAAATTACATGTAAGTGACATCTTACTTGGCCATTGATAGCAATACCAATTATTTTTCTCTCTCTCTCTCTCTCTCTCTCTCTCTCACTCTCTCTCTGTGTTGTTCCCTCCACATGACCACAGGGGGGCAACATCTCCTCAAAACAAACATAAACCACTAACTCACTTTGTTCCTGGGTAGAGCGGGTTGAAGAAGTCCTGGGTGATGTTGAATGCATACCATGAAACAGATATCATGGTGCACAAGCCTTTGGTGAAATTTAAAAATAAATAAATAAATAAAAAACAAAGTCATTCCAGGGAACAAACTCTTTATTTAACTTGTAAATAATATTTACAAACTTAAAGAGAATTTTTTTTTGCATACTTGTACTATAAAGATGTTAACAAAGTCTCAGAGTGGTTTGATGTTTGTTTCATTCTAAAGAAACTTACAGAGTCAGAAATGCTCACAGTAGTGCTGGTAGGAACCAGATTTCCAGAAAGCTATTTCATTAAATATGCCTGAGACATTGTTTAACAATTGTTCTAAAATGCGTTTTTAAAATCCAGTCACAGCAAAACCATATATTTTTTTCAGATTTACCACTATTTTACTATTATTAATCCATCCATGCATCATCTAAACCGCTTATCTTTCTGGGTCGCAGTGGGGTGCTGGAGCCTATCCCAGCTGTCATTGGGCGGAAGGCAGGATACACCCTGGACAGGTCGCCAGTCCATCGCAGGGCAGACAGACAGACACATTCACACACACACACACTCACACTCACACTTACACTCACACCTAGGGGCAATTTAGCATGTCCAATCAGCCTGACTGCATGTTTTTGGACTGTGGGAGGAAACCGGAGTACCCGGAGGAAACCCACGCAGACACAGGGAGAACAGGCAAACTCCACACAGAAATGACCTTGGTCGCCCGGCCGGGAATCGAACCCAGACCATTCTTGCTGTGAGGCGACAGCGCTACCCACTGTGCCACCGTGGCGCCCTACTATTATTAATATTACATATAAAAGGAAGACACATGTAGGTTTACTGGTTATTTTGGACAGTAAATAAAATGGCTATACTTGTGTTGTAAACATGGCAGCTCCTGGTTCATATCACCACCAGTCAGTAAGTTTCTTTACAATTAACCATTTCACATCAGACCACTGTGAATGACTTGAATGGATCTTAGTCACTGAATTACACAGAAATAATAAAAAAAAATAATAATTGTAATTTCCCTTAAATGCAGTTCAACTGCATTATGTGGGGTAATTTTACCTTGTAGAATAAAGAAGATGCCCCCTACTGCAGTGATTCTGCCCTTCAGCACATAGTTGTCCCCTCCTGCTTTACAGCACTGCATGCCAATGAGAGAAGCCACCAGCCCGAAGGTTCCCATCACTATAGAAGCGATCATAAGGGCCCTCGAAGCCTGGATGTATCCTGCACAATACAAACATTTCCTTGTTCATTTGCAGCTTTTTCTTGCTTTTAAAATTCTACCCCACACGTCTTTAAACGTGAAGGGAACTGCATATTGTAAACTACTCTACTATAAATAATATTTCTCTGAATAATGTGTTTTTACAAAGATATGAATTTAAAGATAAATAAAGTGTATTTTGTCACTGTCCAAAAAAAAACTAACTCAAAAATGGTGATTTTACAGGAGAGTGCAGAAAGGTTCTAAACTTTTAATGTAAGTTAATAATGAGATTTTATTCTTAGTAATTTTCTATTGGTCTATTGGTTTCTATTATTACTCTTCCATTCATCATGAAATGTTTACACAGTGTAAAAGGAAGCTGCTGTGTGCACAAAAAAAGTACAAAACATGATTTATGGTTTTGATATGACAGTGACAGTATCTTTTAATGTATATTTATACATTATATATTTTTATACATATCAGAATAGGACATATTAAGATTAGGCTATGTTAAAAGTATACTCCAGTATTTTTTTAAAAACAATCTCTATCTGCTCCATCTGAAGTGTATGGTTGATTACCGCAGTCAATAATTTTCCTGTACTTAGAACAGAACAGAAAACCAGTACACTCAAACCTTGTTCATAATAAAAGCACATGGGTGCCTTAGTGGGTGATTTTGTAGTTTAAGCTAATTCCTTGTAAACTATATAAAAGTAATAAAAAAAGAATAAAGAAAACAAAATAAAGTGAGTACAATGATTTCTTTTTTTCATTACTGAAGTAAAGGCTATGACTACAACTATGCCTATAGTAAAAGCACCACTGTACAAGTAAATAACTAGAAAGAAAGACGATAAGTGAAATATTATTTTATTTCTTTTCTGACTTGAAAAATGTCATTGGAGGAAAAGAAAGGAGAGTCTTTATGTGTAGTGATAAGCTGGTATGGGATTGACCAAGGCCCTACCGGACAGTGCGAGCAGGGAGGGAAACTCTCGGCAGTTGTGAACTCCGGTGGAGTCGGTGGCGCATGACATCCATAGATTCTCGTACAGAGTTGAAGTGGTGATCACATTCCCGTCCACAGTGGAGGTTTTCCAGTAGCGGTTCGGTAACGCCACTCCAACCATCACCCAGCCTATAAATCCCAGCAGCAGCGCTACCACTTCAACTATTGGATCCATAACTGCCTTTCTGAGTGAGTGAAGGTAGAAGTATATGTTCCTTGATCTTCTCTCCTCTTTTCTCTCTCTTTCCTCACTGTTTCAGTGCAGACATGTCTGGTTCACAGCTGTGTCTTACTGGTGAGACTCCATGGGGAGAGAGTGCGCTCCTGTGGGAATCAATAGAGGAGATGTTGAGTTAAAAGTGAACAGATCAATGATTTATGATCTTGCTTTGCCCTCCCCATCTCGTGTGAGCACTCGTCTCTGCTGTGCTTTTCACACCCTGAAACTCAGCAGGTGGTTATCAGAAGGCTGAACAGGCGTCACCAAAGTCCAACGATCAGCCCATAACCTTGGGCGCTCAGTCACAGCTCTGTGATGGACTGAAAAGGAGTCTTTGTTTTATGTCTGTTCGAAGAACAAGGAACAAATGGAACAAAGGCAAAACTTCTCAGTTTTCACAATAGTTTAAAACAATGCTGAAATGCACGCTTTTAAATATTGATATAACTTCAAATGACCTCCCAGAGGTTTCCGTTGGACATAGAATGGGACAGAGCTTAGAACTCCAACGTCATACTAATGTATATTTTTATGTAAGACACTACATATAAATGACCTCCCATAGACGTTCACAGAGCATATAACAAGACAGGGCAGAAAACAAAATATACCAAGAGATCACTAATACAATTCTGCAATATATGTCATCATTTGTGACCAAAATACTTGCTGCAAGTTCATGGCTTAATAACGACTTTATGCTAACTTTGTTTGGTAAATACATTAAAACATTTCTTCATATGTCACATAAGAATCTGAAGATTTAATATTGCATGTACACTCCCATGCAAAAACAAAACAAACAAAAAAAACAAAAAACAGACCAAGCCCCAATTGGCAAAACATTAAGCTTTTGGTCTTAACAACTAATCATTAAATAAATAGATAAAGTAACTTAGTATAGGGTAGCTTTTCCCTTTGATTTCTTTAAATGTTGAAGTCTTGTGGGTAAACGTGCAGACCGGCTTTTACAAAAAGGAGTCAGTGTCATTTCAATCCCCATCTCATGTTCAAACAGTTGAAAAACAGTTAAAAACATTGCCAAGCTAGTTTGTGTTAAATGTGAGTAAACATCTCTATAGGTTTAAATTTGCTTTCAGACAGGCCCAAAATAATCAGTAACACACACTATATTTTAGGTTTGGCCCATATTTTTGCACTAGAGTGTATTTTCTAAAAGATGGGAATTTGAGTTTAATGTCTTCTAAAGGTTCCTTTTGCCTGGATGAATTCTACTGAAAGTGTGGATTCTAAACTTTCGACCAATTCAGTATTTATGTCAGTAGACATTCTATTATTAATAGATATTCTATTATTATTTGAACCGAAAAGAGGTCCAGGTCCAATTTGTGTGGTTTTAAAGAGCAAAAAAAACCCCCACATAATTCACTTTTTCACATGACTGTTTTCCAACCTCTCTTTATGCCTTACAATTAAACAGGCTGTTTTTTTTTTGTTACTGTGCCTTGAAGAGTGATATATGTAAATGAGCTCTTGTCTGATTAGCTGCCTTATATTGTGCCTTATTCAAAAAGCAGTCCAGGTTCAAATGCTCACTAATAACTTCACTGTGGATGGGTGGAGCTAAACTGCTGTAGGCTGAATAGATAGATAGATGTAAATGTGTTAGCATACGTGACATCATAAAAACAGAACAGTGAATTAAAAACAGGCTGTTTTGGCAGCTCAGTTTCCATACATGGACTGTATTGACTACGTCAAACTCTTCTATTCCAAATCAGTGAAGAAAATTTATTTGTCCTGTACATGAACACTTTAAATTTGGCCACTTTTTGGTTATTTTGTGATGTCAGAATAAACAGAAAAAAGTTGGAAGTGCAGGTTTTAATTCATTATATAACAAATATATGTAATTATGTGATTACATATTCTTCTTGTGTGCAAATCAAATATGTATCCATCAAATCAAATATGTGTACACACACACACACATATATGTACGTGTGTACACATATTTGATTTGGGGGGGTGGGGGGCGGGGCTTATTCTTGATTTTCGACCAGAAATAGAAACTATACCAGCTGCACACCAGGTGAGAGCTAAAATCAATATCATATTGTTTAATACTATGCATAAATGTATTCTTCTGAATTAACACTAACTAGCAACCCTGCATTTCTTCTACATGATGTATTATATGAATTTTTCTTGAACATCTGTGTGATGCTTGCACTCCTTTGCATTCAACAAAATGATTTCTGTTATTTAAACACAAAAAACAAAAAATCACACAAAAAACATATAAATGGAGAAAAAAACTTAAAAGTTCACAGATGATCAGTTTTCAGGTTGTGGGATAATCACACTAGTTGACAGGCAAACGTTATATTTGTTGTATTAAATTTAATTCTGTTATAATGGTGAGAAAAATGCATTTTGTTGTACGTACGTATTCACTCATCAGTATTATTATACATGTAGGTAGAATTCCATTCAAGGACACGTAGAAACAAAACAATCATCTCCAAAAGTTGATATTTAATCAATGAGACACACCCAAGTGAACGAATAATCTGCTCTAAACTTCTTAGCAAACCTTGGAAATCATCTTAAGAGGCATTTTGTCTTTTTTTACATTCATGAGCATGATGACACTAAGTATGAGTAATGAACTATGTTGCAAAGGTCATGTTTATGGTGGGCATGTTTACGAGAGCTTGGTTTTATGGTTCCTTTTGAGAACCCATAACGGTTTTCACACTATGGACATCCAATAAATCTGAACACGCTGACTTTTACAGGGACATTCCACCCCCGACCACCCCACATGTTACTTAGGTAACTGCCTAATAAAACAAATATTACGAGAAACAATTTAATAACATGTAAGACAACTGCAAATATTTTGTGTTGACTTTCACTGTTTACAGTCTACTGGCTGCATTTGGATGAACTCTGTGCATGTTTAATAATACCAAACTTGCTCCTTTCAGAAATGTGGAGAATTCGATCTGAAAAAAATAAATAAACAGAATTTAAGCCATCAGGAAAGAATCTGTATAAGCAGATTCAGTATATATAGTGTGGTGGATCTCCTGAAAGACGCTTGCCTTTTAGGCACATAGCCATCATTCACTTTTACTATAGTTAATTAGTAACAACAATCTGCAGCAATAAAGTAGCACTACTAATGGCAACCATAATCTCTCCTGTTGTAAAAATGTTCAACATATCAAAATGAGCTTAGATCTATTTGAGGAAAAGGCCAGTGATGTGAGAAAACAGGCCAGCTGCCCAAATCACTGTTGTCTGGACTGCTGTCTGTGTGTTTAAGTCAGGTTTATAGCTTCAAATAGCCATTAGTTTTTTCCAAGGCCTAACTAGGGTTTCAGTTCAGAGTGACCGAAACTGAACAAAAACTAGCATTTCAGCAAAAAGAAAAAAGAAAGAAAAGAAAAAAGAACTACTGATTAGACTAAAAACAGAACAGACTGTCAGATTCACAGATCATCTCAGAATGTGAGAGCTGATTTGGCTCACAGCTTCTTAAAACACGATAACTGTGTAGACAGGAAAAGTCTGACCCTAAGTTTAATGCTTTTAAAATATCACATGAGCAGAAGCCAAGGACACCAGTTGTAAAACCAAGAGTTGGCACTGTTTAAGAACAGGAAGGGTTGGGCATTGCTAAAAATGTTCAGGGATTGAAATCAACAGCGATACCTTGACTTTGATACTGTTCCAACAGCTTATTTGAAATGACATATCGTCGCTGCCCAAAGAAAAAATGGTTATTTCCAAAATAATAACTTTATAGGAGAGCACATAAACGTTCTTGACTTTTAACGTAAGTTAATGTAGAGAGATTTTATTTCTAAGCAAATTTGGAGCATTTCTACTGATGCATTTATCATGAAATTATCACACAAAGTAAAAGGCAGCTGCTGTGCTCAGATGATGTAGGAAAAATAAAACAAAAAAATTGAGATTTTTGTGACAACATGCAAAACATTTTATTTCTGTCTATATTAAAAAAAGGACAATTTTCACAAAACGTGATATGCCATACAGTGCTACACAAGTGTGGTCTCTGAGTTTTACTTAGTTTTGCACATGCAACCTCATTGGTGGCTCTTCTAAGGGCAACCACAAATGTTAGGCACTAGTTTTCTGTCTGTTTTAACTTGTATTTTAATGTTTCAGAGTGTATTTATTTTACCAATAATTATCTTAGTTAACTTTACTGCAAATCCTAAACATAAGAACTACCTCAGGAAAAGTGGATGCATCCTGATTTCTGTGATTTGTTACAGATCAAACTCTGCCTGGTCTACTTGGCATCAGACATTCAAACATCCTTTGTTATACCAGAAACGTCTACAATCTTAAAACTAGAGGATAACCTCTGAATCAAGATTTCAAGCAACACGTGTCAAAGCTTGGAGTTTTTCATTGGAGGATTTAGCCAAGTAAAGGGGGTGTAAATTTTCAAAGGATATCTGAGATTTTGTATGGAAAATGGAGTACGGAGTCTTGTGTCAATCAAACTGCACACCAAACTAAAGGCAGTGAGCATCAGTGTTCTTCGAACCATCCAGCATGTTGACATATATTTAAAATCTGAGTTTAATCTTACCAGAATGCCTACTATGTTTATGTCCAAGCCCAGATCTTCCATAAACAAATTGGAGAAATTATTTCTCTTTCAGCAACTCTTTCATAAAGCAGCTGTCACTGAAACTTGGTTTTCAGACGCACATCCTCCAGTTGTGTTCAATGTTCAATGTAGATGGTTACTATGTACTTTGAAGGCACAGAAGTTCAGGACTTCATCGGTTATGCAGACCCCTATCTGGCATTATTTTCTGTGGAATTTATTCCCCTCAAAATTCGCCTCATCGTGATCTGCTAATAGATCATCTACAAAACTACATTAATAACATTCATTTTAAGTACCCTGACATAGATCTTGTCCTACTGGGGGATTTTAACAGACTATAACTTTCAAGTTTGCACAGAAACAGTTTGTTATCACAAGTGGTGAACGATAACACAAGAGTTAATGCCATCCTAGACTTGATTGTGACCAACACAGAAGATCTTTATATGCGTCCCACTGTCCTACCACCTATAGGATGCAGTGACCACAATTCTGTTCTCTGGCCTGCTTAAGCTGCTTCATCAACACACAAAGTGGACAAGACAGTAATTAGACCTCTAAGAGAACAGGATGTGCTTCAGTTTGGCAATCGGATTACGTAACACCCCTGGTCTGAACTTTACGTGACCATAGATACAACTTTAAAGACTGGTGCTTTTTATATGACATTAACCACTGCAACAGATACTTTTTACCCAACTAAAACAGCGAGAGCCCATCCAACTGATGAACCACTCCCAACAAGTTAATTAAGTCCCTTATTGCAGCAGAAATTCTTTTACAACCAAAATACAAAACAGTGATAATACTACAGAAACAAAGGTCAATGGGCACTTGCCCCTGCCAGAAAGAAATGCTATGCAAATAAAGGTGCAATATTGAAGTCTGCTAACCCTAGAAGGTGGCATCAGGTAATTACGGTTAAGGCCTACACCAAAAGTGAAAAAGTAAAAGTATACCTGGATCTGAAACTGTGGTCACTGCAAATATATTGCATGATGTTCTACCAGCACTGGACACTACCAAACTACCATCATTCCTTCCATCCCCCCATCAGTTGCCCACTCTTATAGTGAGGAAGTTATAGAAGGCTTTGAGCTGTCAAGTTGGTAAGGTTTCTGGCCCAGACTAATTTGATCAAAATTTTTTCATAAGCATTTCTTTTAACTCAAACAAGTCTCAAAAAATCTATTCTAAAGGTTCCAGTCACAGTGTCGTATTATAGGCAGCCAACCACCAGACCAGATTTTGGAACAGAGTGACTCACTCACGCAGTAAGACTAATTACTTACGTCAGCGCTGTCCAAAGTGTGGCTCACAGGCCAAAGTTGGCCAGTCCGGATGTTTGGCTTGGCTTGGCAGAAAGTTACCCTAACCCAGCCCCTCACTCAATAAGATGTATTTTGTATTCAATTGATATATTTTTGTAACAAAACACAGTGTAATTTTATGAAATAGTTTTTCAGGTAACTTCATTCGATATCTACCTACCTTCTTTATTTGGATATTGTTCTTTTTAAACAACGTGATACTTGGCAGAATTGAAATTTTTCCGTTGGTACCATAAAAGTATCAGGTTTCGCTACCCAGCCCCATGAAAAGGTTTACAACTCTTCAAGTCAGAATGTTAAAACTGTATGACTCTTGGCAACCGTGGACATGAGCCTGAGTCTGGTGAATACTGACTACTTAAAGGTAGGGATACTTGTTTTTAGGATTAAAACCAGATCGGCCCTGTCAAACATAATATTACACAGACACTACATACACATACACACAAAACAGACATTCAGATCACTTGATTAGTAAGAATAAGAAGACAAAGCTGAATGGAAACAAATTTCTGTATTATATAGACTGTACATTATGCTCAATTTAGAAACCCAGACATCTGTATTAAAGTGTTACTCTCTAATAACTGCATAAGACCTGCTAACCTTGCATTAGGATTCCCTTATTTTTCTAAAGGTGTGGAGACAAAAGTATAAAACATGCATACATCTCACCCAAATCAAACTGGCTTGTGCAATAAATTGATAAAATATGAGGCTTCATTGTTAAAGTAAGGTCACAAATTTGTACAATTAAAAACATGAGACAAGGAGAAAAAAAAGAAAACAATTAACAGCATAAGATTTATAACATAGTGCTAGGTCAGACCACTTCCTTATAACACCTGTAATTAAATAATGGTAAACCAGTCTCTGTTGTTAAGCCAGACATTCTCTTACAAAGGAGGATGTGGTAAATCAAGATACTCCCCCAACTCCTTTATTGGGGTTTTGCTGATTTGGCCACTGCCATCCCAATCAGTCCTGCTATTCCTGCCACTCCCAAGCCTATGCCCCCAACAATAGCCATGCCAACTAGGCCATCTGAAAAGAAAGAAAAAAAACATGTAATGATTTCCTCCTTCCTTGTGATGCACTTCTATTATTTCTCTATCATAACTCTGCTAAACACATATGTGAATAACTAGGCGGTTTTAATGCCTTCTGACAACAGAAGGCAAGAAAACATTACTAAGACTACTACTTTCCCCTCTTGCCTCATAAACTGATATCAGAGCCACTTCCCTGTTAGATGTGCAGTAAATCAATACAGCTTTGTTCCGCACAGACAACCACTCTTTTCTCAGATATGCACAGGCACATACACAGATAAACACCCACATATAGTGAGCCATACATATGCTCTGAAAAAAGATGGTGCTTCAAGGGTTATTTAGTATAGAAAACGGTTCTATGTAGAACCATGAACACTCAACGAAGGGTTCTTTGCATCATAAAGGGTTCTTCAGATTGATGGAGAATGTGCTTTAGATTCTTCCATTGTTACTGTGTCAAGCTTTTAACAATAGAAGAACCCTTTTGAGTGGTATATAGAACGCTTTTCAAAAAGGTTCTATAAAGAACCATCTATAGCATATTCATGCATATTATCATCAATCCGAAGAACCCTTTCAAGATGCAGTGTTCATGGTTCTATAAACAACCATTTTCTTTAATAAAGATCCCTTGAAGCACCATCTTTTTTATGAGTGTACATACATAATAGACATGTGCCCCTTTCACATACGCCTACCATATGCTTATTGTTAGTACACGGCCCCAAAACGTCTCCACATACCTTGTTTTTGTGTTACTATTTTCTTTTCAGATAATCTGATACCAGTTATGACTATCAAAACTACAACAAGTGGAGAAAACACTAATCAAGCACTCTTAAAAATAAAGGTTCCTAAATGCTTCATGGCTTTGTATGGTTCTAAGTAAAGTCTTTAAACGGTGTATATATGTGGACGTACTTGAAAGTTTTTATAAAGGTTCTTCACATTTCATACTCACATATTACATTTTACATAATGTTCTAAATGGTTCTTATGGAGCGAAAAATGGCACTTCTTTGGTATCACTCCAAAGACCCCTTGGCACCTTGACTCCAACCCATATATAAAGACTTCAGATCCAGACAGTATGTAGAGTGGAGACCCCGTAACCCATTTGACATTCTGTGCTTTTTGGTTGATCTCCAAGGTTGGATACTTCCCTGAACTGCACAATTTTCCCTTTCTATAGTGCTCTTGATCTTTGTTGTCTGCTTTTGTTACTGTGCTCCATAACTGACATTCTTTATGTTGTAATGCTGTCTACAGCATTACATCTTTCTGATCTGTTGACTACATGTTTACAACTTGTGCAAAGTTTACCACTTTTACTACGTGTGTCATTTTAACTGTTAACATTTTTACTACTTTTTGTACCACATGGAATTAATGTGAAAAACTTTTTATTACACTGTTTTGTTATACCCTAAACTTTCATGTTTGAAATGCAGTTAACTCAAACACAGAGACAGCACCTTTCTTTAGTGCCTGGTTGATGAGCTTCTCCAGTTCGATGGCCTGCTTATTTCCTGGTTCATTTCTGAGGAGAATGCGAATGTACTTTAGAGCTCTTTCATATTCCTGTGGAGGGAGGAGAGACAAGAAACACAAGAAAATCAATAAGACACAAACATTACTCATGGTTATGGACTTCAATAGAGCACACTGTAATACACTGTCTATTGACTGCAATTCTGTGATGAAAGATACATTTATCATTTGGCAGTTAGAATAGAAAAACAGAATCTGAAGTTATTCTCCTCACCTTGAGTCTGTAGTTTGCAACAGCCAAATAAAACAGAAAATCTCTTTGGTCATCTTTTGTGCTTTTATGTAACAGCTCTGCAACCATGAAATGAACATATGATGAAATAGAGCACATTTTACTTTACATGCATCCAACTAATTAACACTACAAAATATTCTGTGGTAACTGTAAAAAGCTATAAATCAGTTGTAACAAAGGTTCTCGGTGTTGTCCAAATGACCCACTCACCCTCCAAGAGCGTAACGCCTTTCTTGATGTCATTAGCATATTTACTCCTGATCAAGCACCATGCATATTCAAATTTGGTTTCTTTAGATACAGGTCCTTTCACCAGCTCAGCGTTATATTTTTTCTCAAATCTCTGTCAAAAAAAATGACATAAGGGGAATTAAGACATTTGCTACTAAGACTGTGAACTCTGCAGTTTAATGATCTTGTGTCGTTCATTGTCATCATAAAAATCAATGACTCAATATTCTTTTAAATTCTTAAATTTCCATCAGCACTGCCTTTCACAATCTTCTTAAAAGTTAGCTAAGAGCCACAAAAACACATTAAATCGAATTACTCTAAACAGCAGACCTAAGATACGTAACTAGACTTGACAATAATACCAAGGAGTCATATGATGGCTGAGCAACATTTTGGATTTTCGGCTCAAGCTACATTTAGTCCATGAGCCAGATGCCAAAATTTGATCATTAGTATAACGTTAATCTAAGGCGACAAAGGTTATGGCGAGATTTTAATAACCGGACAAACTCTCTGTTAAATTGGAATATGAGAATCGTGGGCCGATGCCGATCTATAAAAATGTAAACATTGAGATTAGCAATGATAAGAAAAGCAAAACGGTAGCAAAGTGAATAAAAGTCCGCGGTTGTTGTTTTGTTTTAGCGTGTGTGTGTGTGAGGGCGCGCACGCGCGGGGGGTGTGGTCCAGGGCCGATCTTCGTTCTCTGCTCTACCCTGACTGCGCGCCTATGATTAGTCCCGACAAAGCCACAGTGACACTTCCTAACATCAGAGACACAGGGGTGTTAATAAACCAGTATGAGCTCTGTCAGCCCGTATGACAGTCTGAGTTGGTTCCTTCAGCGGTTCAGGAACTAAACTGATCGATAGAGCATCAGTCAGCGACGTCACCGATGATGATGTAACGTTAATGTAGTCAGCTGGCCTATCTAGCTACCAGTGTCTCAGGATAACAGGCAGGCTGTCAGTCTGTCTGCTGTCGAACTAACACAAACAGCGTGATTCAGGAATAAAGAGACTGCAGTTTAAGTTACGATTTGAGAAACGTATCTGAAACACGTATTTACCTGTAAATCTTCGGGAGCTACGACGTCCGTCACAACTTCTTCCATGTTGCCGGAAACACTTTGCAAATCACAAATTAAAAGTCAATAACGAAGCGTACACTGTCTGCTTCTTTGATGTTTACATCTAATTAAAGGCTAAATAAATAAAGAACAAACAAACAAATACATATACAAATAAATAAATAATAAATGATATTTAAAACCTTATAATCTTTCTAATACGACTATTCAATAAGTCCATACCTACTTCTTTATGTATATTTACTGTTTTTAAGACTTGTGTTTAAAACTTGTAAGCATTTTTTTGGAATATGCATTTTCTTTAATTATTATTAATGTTATTAATGTGTATTAAAAACACTTTTTGTCTTTTTTAAATATTTTACTCGGCTGTCGATGACGCACCGTGACTACGTCACTAAGCAGGAAGTATCTGTCAGAGAGCCCAAACAGTGGCTTCAGGTTTGAAGCACAGAGAACAGAGACCATATGAGCCGTCGTCTCTTGTAGAATATAATTATTTAAACCCTTCAGAATGGCTCGAAAGACTAAGAAAGAGGAGTACTACCGTTTCTTCACCGTTACAGATCCACGCACACACGAGAAAGGCCACACGGAATATAAAGTGACGGCGAGGGTTAGTAATCAACAGACCAGTTAACTGTTCATTTGACTGTAATCTCATATCAGAGGCTCAGTGAGTAACAGCACTTTGATAGCAGTGATTATTTTCGGATAGATCGAACGTTAGTTAGCTATTTCAGTTCGATAGAGTAATAATAATTATAATATATAATGATATAACAGACTCTTTGTTATCAGTAGATTTATCTGACATGACCATCTAACTTGATGATGATCTGTGTTTTATATTAATGCTTGTATTATATTAGTGATGCATGTGGGTGATGGTACATGTAGAATATGTCTGTAAACAGGACCAGGTTATAAAGAAATACCGTGTAATGGTTTGTATGCCCTTCTGCACCCCGTTTAAATATTAGAAATGGGCCATTGTTCACTGGGTGGCTCAATAAAACTCGTGACACGGAGCATGAGGGCCACCCCCGTGACTACATCTACATCTACATCTGGCTTTGTGCTCATTGGGTGGATTATTAAACCATCTTTCACAATTATTTATGCTTGCATTAGATTAGAATTGTTATGAAGAACTACAGTGTAGGACTTTGTTGTCAGGGAGAATATTTGTTTTTGACAGACCTTCTGTACAAAATGAACTGCATCCAATTCATTTTGGTGAAGTACACACAAAGTACCAGTGTACAGTTGCACACTGAAGTATCATATGCAATAATAGTCAGTCTTTTTTCATTGATTTATTTCTGCAGTAATATATGAGTTCTGCTCCCTTCTCGTTTCTTCCTCCCCCTCTCCTGACAGTTTGTGTCAAAGAAGCGACCAGAGGATGTGAAAGAGGTGGGTTGTGATCCTGTCCAGTCACTCCACAACAAGTGTTTCAGACCTTTGAGTTGATATATGCAAAATTTTGCTTTGCATTATTTCATTCAAAGTATTCGTTTGAGTTTAATAAAATCAAACTTCTTGTTACCACATGTAGTGATATTTTTTTAGATTAAGCTGAGTAGAGATGGGAATTTCCATGCTTTCGTGATACCAACCAAATGACTCACTACAGAGATCGAAACATTCTATGTTGTTCAGTAATTTCAGTACCTAATATAGTTTGGTGATTCGCTGATAGGCATGTGTTTTACATTAGTGTGTTCACCACATACAAACAGAAGTGTCTCTGAACAGACCCACTGCATATTCTTCAGCATCTTAAACTACTGGTTATGAAGCAGTGACTGAAACTTCTGGAGTAGATTCTATTTTTTACCTATTAAATTAAGAGCAAAATGAATACACATCATGTAAACCCGAATTTTCACTATAGATTTAGAAATTAAATGTTTATAGCTGTCATTGTCTTTTGTATTTAAAAAATGAAACAAAAAATATTGTTCAGGAATCGTATCAAATACGATCAAATTCAAATGATCTGAACTGGTATCGGTATCTCTAGTGTCACACTGTTTTAATAAATAGATGACTTGGTAATGATATGAAAGTGTTAAGGAATTTGTGGACTAAATGGGTAAATTTCATAAATTGGTATATTTGTAAAAGTGAATATGACTTTAGTAATCCTGAAGCATTAAGGTAAAAAAAGCTTAGGCACTTAATATCTTGAAATAACAGCAGCTTACTCAGCAACGTTACTTAAAATAGTCTCAGAAATTGTAACTGTGTTGAATATTGACACAGCTCATGTTGACACAGAGTGAGTGGTGTGTTGTTTTGATTGTTAGATAGTGGTATGGAGAAGGTACTCAGAGCTGAAGAAGCTGCATGGAGAGCTGGCTTATACTCACAGGAACCTGTTCAGAAGACAAGAAGAGTTCCCGCCTTTTCCACGGGCGCAACTGTTCGGTAAGACTAGAGTACAATGTGCTGTGCTTACACTGTGTGAACATTTCAGAACAGATATGGTCCAAAATTACTTGAAATTCTGTAACTTCAACATACATTAAAGTTAAAAACAAATTTTTCTTCTTCTATGAAGTTACCATTTTGGAGATTCAGTGTATTGTTACTATAGCAACGAAATTTTGAGATATCAGAGACCTCTTATTTTTCTTTTTCTTTAACACGAAATTCTCGCTCTCTCTTTTAGGTCGGTTTGATGAAGCAGTGATTGAGGAGAGGAGAAAGGCTGCAGAAACTATGTTGCTCTTCACTACAAATATCCCAGCACTGTACAACAGCCCCCAGCTCAAAGAGTTCTTTAGGGTCAGATTTACATACGTACACACCCTTGCACATACATATTGGTTTGACTCACTTTAAGTCAGCAGCTTAAAGATATAACAAAATCTTTTCAGCATTTACTTTTTCTCATTTGTTCTTTTGTATATTTATTTATTTATTTTGTGTATCAGGGGTCTGCAAGTACATCAGCATTTTGTCCATGCAACATTGCCCACATATGTGTTAACATATTTTCACATAAAATATCAATAAATGGCCAAACTTTTGAATACTATTACTATCTTTTTCTGGTATTGTCTTTCCTCTCTCTCACTCTTTCTCAGGGAGGAGAAGTGAGACGACCGTTAGACCCATCTTCTGTCTCTTCCTCCTCTCCACTACCTCCCCCTCTCATCCCTTTACCCAAGGGGGCCTTTGGACTGGAAGCAGAAGAGGAGGCTGGGAGGGAAGCTCCCCTCCAGGCTCAGGAACTGGAGTCCAGTCTGGAAGAAAAAGATCTGGATGAGACTGAGGTGGCAGTGGAGGCTCTCAGTGACATGGAGGGCAGCCCAGTGGAGGAGACACAAAGAGATAAAGAGGAAACACAACAGAATATCAGCACAGATCAGTTCACCACAGGTGCAGTTACATTTCTGGTTTATCTAGTTTTTTAAGAGTTCCAAACTGGCAGCCTGCAGTCCAAACTTGGAATTATACAAGATTTGGACTTACTAGCATTATGTATTATAATTAGGTTGCACATGGTATATGATGTAGTCACTAATTGCAGCAGGCCATTCATCTGATTACCATTTTAAGAAAATTAATGTCTTAAATACTATTCGGACAGGGTTAGTTTTTCCTGGGGTGCTGGGGTTATGTAATTTTTACTGCAGGCTGTCTGTAATGTTTATGACCAAAATGCACAGGATAGGAAATCTTGGTTTAAATTGTAGAGATGGGAGGGGCTACTTTATTTCCGCATTACAGTTACACCAAAAAGATCTATACACAATCTGATTGGCTGCTAGAAAGACCCTAAAAAACACCTTGGCTACCATAGCAACAGCCTAGCAACACCTTAGTAACCACCTGGGATTGCTTAGCAACAGCCTAGCAACACTTTAGCAACCGTCTTACAATAACAAAGCAGTGCCCTAACAACAAGCTGGAATACCAGAGCATAGCATAGCATAGCTACCTAAAATACTTTGTATACCCAATGCAGGTATCAAAAACAATCAGTGTTCTACAACTGCTTTAACTTTGTCCACAATTTAAAATTTGTTCACTGTTTAGTGATCATCCATCCATCCATCATCTAAACCGCTTATCCTTCTGGGTCGCGGTGTGTTTAGTGATCATTAGCTTTGGAATTTACAACCATCACCACATAAAATTTTTTTTTTTACTTTGATTTTATTTGTTTTAATGCTTGGAGTTGTACACTTGGGCTAGGATAGTACAGACTTGACTTGGGCAGCAGAGAATACCAGTAAAAACTGCAGCATACTCAGGAAATATAGCGAAAACCTTTTTTCGACAGGATATGATGGAATATTTCTATTCTATGGGTGGGGCTAAAACAGTGAGAAGACAACTCAGCTCTACGAGTCTGAAAGGATGTGAAGCTGTCAAGAAGCTATTACTGAGAAAAGAAATAGACAGAAACAGAAGAACCTTTGCAAATCAAACAAAGAAGCTACTGGGTGTTCTCAGAGCAATAAAATGTCCAGACCTATGAGAATCTTTACTGAAGCATGAGTGTGCAGACTGTAAAATTGCTGACATGGCGCATTTGGACTAGGCTAAACACACTGAGAGAACCTTATAATAATTCAGTTACAACACCCCCGCATGTAAAGCTAATCCCTTCCGAATAGTGCTTTAGTGTGGTAATCAGCCTCCCTATTAATCACCCCCCCACCCCCCAGGTTGTCAGTTTTGGGAAACTGCTTATTGACTGACTGATTTGAATTTTCACTGTCTTATTTTCATATAAGTTGACTGCCCTGAGCCCCCTGGTTCTCCAGTTGACCAATTGGAGGAGTTTGATGCTCTCTTTGACTGTGTATCTGAGGAGCCGGTGGACAGGGCTCCACCTCCTCTCTCAGTCGAGGACCTAGCCATCTTTGACCCATGTGCTAAGGAAGGTCTGCACTACCCGCAATCCACCTCTTTTCTCTTCATCTGTGCCCTGTGTATCACCTGCACTACAGCTTTATTTTCATTTGCTCATTCCTTTCATGCTATCTTTCAGATCAGTCTTGTGGATCTCCTGATCATTCTGAACTCCTGTCCCTCAAACTGACAAAATCAGATGGTGCTGGATTTGGTGAGGATGAAGGTTATGTGGCCCAGGCGACCAAGGAACTGAACTCAGCCCAGGAGAGAGAAAAAGAAGGAGAATACAGCGCAGCAATACTGAAATACAGATCAGCAGTGGACATCCTAATGAAAGGAGTGCAAGGTACAGATGAGAGTCACTGCTGCAGTATAGTCATAGTCACTGTCCCAGGTTAGCTGTCACACTGCTGATGTTGGATGATAAAGACAATGATGACAAAAAAAAAAAAAGACAATTCCGATCTGACAGTTCTCATTAAACAGTCAGATCTGCGGCCCTATCCTAATCTGGAATTAACATACATCTTGGGTGGTCTCAAGTGGCAGCAAATGCAGGTGTAAATTGGTTACAGTGCTTCTTGGAAACAATTGTGATCTGATTACTGAAACCACCTTTGGAGGTGGTCAGGGATGCACATGGCCACATGATATTTGTAGTGTGAACTCTAAAGCATCCCAATATGTCCCCAAAAGCATTAAAGGACCGCCTTAACGACATCACAGCAGAGAAGAAAGCAGCTGCGTAGCTTCTTTCTTACACCACTAAGTTATCCCAGCAGCCCACATAATCTGCATTTGTAACAGTCTAAACATTTGTAAATGCACACAAACGAGGATTCGCAGCGTGTTGTCTGACAGTAAACGGGAGCGAGAGACTGAGAGTAAATGTGCACAGCACCCTTCCTTCAGTCCTGAAATCCAATCAAATTGACCAAAGTGGTCACTGAGACACACTGGAGAAACATGGAAATGCCAGGTGTAAACAGCTGTACATCTTGCTGTCCACTTTTGATCAGATCACTCAAAAACATGGTTGCCCAAACTTTTTGTCCCGAGGTACTGAAGTGCAATGTTTGTGGTGGGCAGAGGGCCAAAATGACACAGTATTCAAAAATGGTGAAAGAAGGTAGGTAGGCTTCAAATTGAGTTTATAAAAATGATTGTAATTTAAGTGTATTTTAGTGTTTTTAAGTAGTCATTTTTATTTCTAAAAAAACTCAAAAATACAGAATTTACTAAGTTACAGTACAATACAGTACTGTGCAAATGTCACAGAACATCCTTTTTTTTTTTTTAAATTTTCAGTCTAAACTCTGTTTTCAGTCTAAACAACAACAATTAAGTAAAAGTTAACAATTAAGTAAAAGTTATTCATTTTGAAAATATATATTTAACAGAGAATTACACAGAAGCCTCAGCAATTAAATATAATATTATAATTTTCAGTATTTAGTGTGTCCATCCTTTGCCTTTATTACAGTTTATTTTTATAGATATTTTTCTACACCTACAAAGTTCTCAAACATATTTAGTGATGTTGAGGTCTGGACTCTGGGGTGGTCAGTCCATTGTTCTGAGAACACCAGCAGCTTCTTTGACTGATTTGCAAATGTTCTTCTTTTTTTGTCTGATCCTTTTCTCAGTAACAGCTGCACATCCTTTCAGACTTATAGTGTTGAATTGTGTTCTCACAGTGGAAGGATGGACAGAAACACCTGTGGATTTTGTCAGACCTGAAGGAAGAGTGGAGCTTGATCTGTCAAAGATGAAAGCTTTAAATATTGTTTGTCTGATGGTGAGAGTTGTGGTGGTCTACCAGGTCTTGCACGATTGTTAGGAGTCCCATTTTCTCTACATCTTTTAATAATTTTTTGATAACCTTTTTTTGGAAACTCCTGTTTTTTCACTTATTTTCCTTTGAGTTCCCCCTTCCTTATACAAGTGTATTATGTTATATCTTTTTCCTCAGATATATATCCTGACAAATAAATAACTTGCACTTAATGTGTTTTGACAGGAAATTAAATATATTAAGGATGGTCTATGACATTTGCACTGTTCTGTATATTGTATACTATACTATACCGTGTATATAAGTCTCTGATTGGGTGAGGGGGTGGGGATAGGGTAACTTTCTGATCCACTTTAGGGCTTCTTTGCTCAAGACACATATTAATAAAGGGTATAAACTGGGTTTGTGTCACAGATTTGTGCCACGTCAACCATAGAATATGTAATGAACATAACCAAAGGGACATTTTACACTGTACTTTTTATTTATTATTTTCTAATTGTAAGCAGCAGTGAATAGAAGGCAGAATATTGAATAGAAGGCCTTAGATTTTTTCCCAAAAGGCTTAACCAGAGATGGAATGCATGGACTGAAACGGAACATTGTGCACATATTTGGCTTTGTTGTTACAAGGGCATGAACAGTACCTTCTTCCTCTCTCTGTAGGAGAAGTGGATGCTCAGCAGAGGGACGCAGTGAAGAGGAGGATAGCTGAGTGCCTTGAGCATGCAGAGAGACTGCTCTCCTTACACACTCCTACTCAGAAACACAACACGTAGAGCACACACAGACACAGAGACATTTTAACACTACTAATAGTGGAACTCCCACGGAGTCGCAACACAATACACATACACACTCTCCCTCACACATAGACACACGGAAACATTTCCCTCTGCTGCTCTTTTCAGTGTAACTCTTCAACAACCCACATGATACACTTATGCACACACATATACATTCACTCTTTACTCCCGCATTGACTTACAGCATACTGATAGGGGCCCAGGTTTTAGCACTATGTTCCTTTCACTATAAGGCTATAGTACTGGAAAAGATTTTATAGTCTAATTAAAAGGAACAATGACATTTAAATCGTTTGAGCCTTTAAAAACTTCCCCTGAGATGGTTCCAGAGTCAATTTCTTAATCAAATGCTGCAATTGTATTTAAGATAAGCCTTGTTAATGTTTGTCAAATCAGCTCCTTTGTGTGGAATCATGCCTTTTTTGTAAATTATACAAAAATTGGAACAAATGACCTCAAGTGTAATTCCTTTATTTTACCACCAGGTGTCCTCATTGAGCATCATGCACAAACTAGTACTTCGAATGTAAAGATGTTAAAGGTTTTTTTCAAGTTTTTTAAATAATTCAGTCGTTGAGATGTGGACAAAGTCATTCATTGGTTTGATGCTCTTGTAGAGAAAATGCCTCTATAACAAGGGTGTCAAACTCAACCACTAAAGGAGCCATATTAAAAAATCTCAACAAATCCATGAGCCAGAGAAAAAGGTTTTTATTTTATTTTTAGTTAATGTGCTATAAACCAGACTAGCCATTGTTTATACAAAATATGCAAAAACTCCAGCAGTAAAATATAGGCACTTGTAGTAGACCTTGAAATATTACATAAATACTTGAAATATTAAAAATTTTAATGTCCCCAGGAGCTCAGTCTTTTAAACCCACCTATCTGCTTGAACCAGACACCTGTCATCCTTTCTATGCTGCAGGTTCATTAAGACTTGGGCTGAATTGTTGAGCTGCTGAGCTAACGTTAGGTGGTTATATTGGTTGAACTGCAGCTGAAATGCTGCTAGTGTGTTTGGTTTTATGACAGGTGTAGAATTTTGTAGAACTGTGTAGAATTGAGGTGTAACTACTGTCTGAAGGTTTGTTGTTGGGGTAGAAATTCAGAGCACACATTACGTTGCAGTGCATGCTGGGGACTGTAGTGCAGCACACTGTGAAACAAGCTAATATTAATAGAAAATTAAAATACTTTTGTGGGCCGGATAGGATTGTGTTGAGGGCCAGCCTTGTGTTTGACACATGGGCTCTATAAGCTACCTCACACAAAAACTACAGTGAATACATTACTTGATGCCTAAAACATTATTTTATGACCATTTTACATAAGGGTTTTAGCCAAAAAGCCATTCATGATGGAGAAGCGCATTCATAGCGTAAGGCAAAATATTCCTTTATTGTTTCAGATGGACTCCAGTTGCACTATTTTACCAACATTCATATCAACATTACATATAAAAACTCTGAAGACACATGTAGCTTCACTGGTAACTTTGGATAGTAAATAAAGTGGCTAAATTTGTGTTGTAGACATTGTGACCCCTGGTTCCTATCACCACCACTGTAAAGAAATCAGAGTCAGCAAGTTTCTCTACAATGCAACGTTTAACATCAAACCTCTTTGAATAACTTTCTTTACATCTCAACTGTTGAGTAATGCATAAATTTCGAAAAATCACTGGAATTCCCCTTTAAGCATAAAGGAAGTTTATAACTCTGTTATGTACTGTGTTAGATACCTATATTCGTTTTCCTGGGCAGAGGGGAAAAATGAGGGGTGAATAGAGGAGAAAAAGAGATGGCAGACCTGAAAAACAGAAGCGTGATTAGAGGATGAGCGGGATCATCTCTTCATTGTCCATGGATGGAAAAATCCTCCCCCCCTTTTATGTTTTTTTTTTTTCACCCCTGTTATTCTGTTATTCCCTCTCTCTCTCGCTCTGTCTCTCTCTGTGAGTGGAGAGATGTGGAATGGAACAGAGAGAGGTTATTGCACCTGTGTGTGTGCGTGTTTTTAGAGAGATGGATGAAGAGACAAAGAGAGAAAATGGGGAGGTGGAGTGTGTTTTGGCATTAGCATGCTGAGAGTGTCAGCACTCGATGTGCTTCTCTCCCCCTCTCCATCTCTCTCTCATCCCTCATTCTCTCTCTCTCTCCCTCCGATCTCTCTCTCCTCAGTGTCCATGGCAATTATGCCATCAAAACACTCCAGCCAAAGAGGATAATTGCATCCTGAGTGCTGGAGAGAGAGTGAGCGGCAGAGTGAGGGAGAGTGTGTATTTGTACGACTGTGTATGTGTGTGTGTGTAAGAAGAGAGAGAGTGAGAGAGTTAGTGAGTCCACATACGTGTGTATGTACACGTGTCTGTGAGAGAGAGAGAAAGTGAGAGAGTGCTACAGTGCATTACAGTAAGTAATCTTCTTCACAGCGTTACAGGAGTCATTCTGGTCAAAGATCAAAGAATCAGTTTGCTCTGCTAAGTGGGTAAAACTACGTTAAACTCTCTCTGTCTCTCGTACTCTCCCTCTCTTGCTCACTCACTTGCTCTCTCTGTCTTTCTATCTCTGCTGTCTTCTTTTTCTCTCACTAGTCTCTCTTTCTGGCTCTCTGCTCTTTCTTTCTGTCTGTTTCTCTGTCTCTCTTTCTCTCTTAGTCTTTGGTACTCTCTCTCTTTCACTTCCTTTGTTTCTCTCTATATATCTTTACTTCTCTCTCTCTCTCTCTCTCTCTCTCTCTCTCTCGTCCATGGAGATTGAGTAATGTTCATTAGTATTGTGAGGTGTATCAGGATAAAGCCAGTAAGTAGTAACCACAAACATGCCTTGAAAAGGAAAGCTTTTAGCAGGCAGGTCTGACTGTGCGGTGCTTTACAATAGTCCTGACACATGCATACATATTCTTCTCTTTCTCTTCTCTTCATTCTTTCTCTCCCTTCTGTCTGCCTTTCTTTCCCTCCATCACTTTCTTTCTTTCACTATTTTCTTTAATCTCTCTCCCCCTTCTCTCTTTCTCTCTCTCTCTCTATCATTCTAACAATCTCTCTCTCTGTCCATCTTTCTAACAATTTTCTCTCTCTCTCTCTCTCTCTCTCTCTCTCTCTCTCTGTCTCTGTCCATCTCTCTCTTTCTCTTGCTCTTTCTCTCTTGGTCCATCTTTCTATCAATTTATATCTCTCTCTCTCTCTCTCTCTCTCTCTCTCTGTCTCTGGTATACTTCTCTAAGCTACTGATGTAATTCCTATAGACGAATGATGGATCTGTATACATCCTCTTTTGCTGTCCTCTTCCTCTACACTCCTCTTTTTTCTGTCCCTGTTACCTCTCACTCTCTCACTGTCTCCTCTCTCTGTCACCTTGCCCAAGGCTCTGTGGGTGTGTGCGCGCATACACACACACACACACACACACACACACACACACACACTTTCTCTCAAAGGGAATCAATAGGCAAACACTTTGGCTGTCCATCGACCCTCTCCAATTTCTCCCTTTATCTCTCTCTCTCTCTCTCTCTCTGTATCCTCCTGGATGCCAAATTTTTATTCCAGCCACATTTGGAGTCATATTGCAATATGTTTGATCATGACTCACTCAAATTAAGCATTTTGATTATGTCTCCCACTGTTTGAAAGGACTGAGAGTTAGTTGCCATTTTTATGATGCTGTGCACAAACGGCCATAACCCAGCCGCATGTATTTCGCTGCTCTTTGTTCAAATGACTCATAAATTTTAACAGGGATACTGTCAGTCATTTGGCTCCAGTTCAAAGGATTCAGTTCTCTATGTGCAGTTGTCACAATTCAGTGGCGTATCCAGCCCAGGGCCGGTCTCATAAGAGCCAAGACAATGCTCAAACTGATCCTATTTTAAAGATGAGGAATCTAACAAACGTTAGATTTGGAGACTTTTCACATTTACCGCATGAATATTCATAGTCTACCAAATGAAGATGTATGCGGTCATTTTATTTCGTACCTTCTTTTGTTGCACATGGCCTGCACAGGCAGTACTGTGCTGTGTCATTTTCTATTTCTATCTGACCTTTGCTCTACTATTATTTTTTTTATGTCTATTCAAATGTTTTTGTTTACTCAGATCTCCTGCTGCCAGCTCTCTTTATTAAAAAGGCTTTGTGTCACATTTCTTGTTTCCATAACAACAGTGGCCGCTGGTCATTGTGGGCTGGCTGGCTGGTGGAGAACTGCTCTGAAGTGGGGGAACGAGAGTGATCTGACAATGAAAACGAGTAAGGGGCAGCAGAGAGAGGGAGAGAGAGAGAGAAAGATGGACTACTCTCACACTGTAAGATGAAGAAGGTTTGCTTGTTGGAGCCATAGAAATGTCCCAATGAGGCAAACTCTATTGTAATGTAGCTATAAAGGTGAATGACAGATTCGTGACATTTTTAATAGTGCATGGGTGGTGTAGACGGGTTCAGCGAAATAACAGTTAAAAAAAGTGGATTCAAATGTGTTGTCAGCCACATGGAGGCATTAAAACTATATTAGTCAACCCCCCCACCTCCAGTTGTGTTTTGGTAGCAGGATAATGACACGGCTCTGATGGGCAGTGAAACAGCCTGGATTAACTGCATTAACTGTGGGATCAAACAGTTTATGATTGGTGGAGATCTCTTGCTGGATATCTACCCCACATGGGGGGAGGGGGGAGGGAGGGAAAGAGAGACTGTGTGTGTGTGGTCATGTATTTAGGTTTTTGTGGGGACCAAATATACCCAAGATGAGAGGTAGGACCATGACATTTTAATGGTTTCATGCTCTACACATTTTTGTGTTTTACCTATTCTACACACCTGACCCAGCACATATGAAGCATGTTAATTTGTTAATGAGTTGAATCAGGTGTGCTAGATGAGAAAAAGCAAAAAAAGAAATTACCTAGTGTGGGATTGCCAGGACTAAGATTAGGAACTCCTGTCCTAAATTCAAATTAGTTGTAATAGAACTAATATGCTGACTTGATTTGAATAGTTAGAGGCGTTCCACTTTTTTTTGTTTTCAAAATTTCAACATTATTAAATAAAGATGTAAACAACATCATTCAGAGAGGTTTGATGTGGAATGCTCTATTCTAGAGAAGCTTACTGTGTCAGATATGTTCACAGTGGTGGTGAAGGGGACCTCCAAAGTGTTTAATGTCTCTAAATGTCACCACACAGAAAGTTATTATATGAAACTGTGATAAATACTGCCTGATGTCTGAAACAATGTTTTGCAATAGTTTTGAGATAAGGCTTTGGCCTAAAAAGAGGTACATAGAGGACATTGTAAGGCAAAATAATATGAAAAGAAAAACTTCTTTTTTTGATTTACCACTATTTTACCATTATCATCATCACATACAAAACTCAGAAGACACGTGTAATTTCTCTGCTCATTTTGGATAGTAAATCAAATGGACGTTTGCATTGTAGACATGGCGACCCCTGGTTCCTATCACCACCATAGTAAAGAAATTTGGGAAGTTTCTTTACAATGAACCTATTCACACTTTATTTACATTTAAACAATGTCATGTATAGAATTAAACAGAAAATTTGAAAAATCTGTGGAATTTCCCTTTAATAAATAAGGTTTTTAATAAATAAATAAATAATTGATCATTTTATAATGCTAATCACAGTCTTAGTAATGCTATAATAAATATAATAGCTGTTGAAGTATTATTATTATTAATAATACTATTACTACTACTACAAAATAATAATAACTACTACAATAAATAAATAATAATAATAATAGGGTGGGTTTAGGTGTAACATGTCAGCGTTTAGTAGTGGTCAAAGGAAAGACCTCACAAAGTCAGAAATACAAACTCTGTGTGTGTGTGTGTGTGTGTGTGTGTGTGTGTGTGGACTGGCTGGACGGACCTCCCTCTCTCGCTCCTCGGCGCGCGCCGGACAGGAGGAGCGCCGCTGAGGGGAGCGGAGCGGCGGACACAAACGGACAGAGAGAAAAGAGAGAGAACGGCGGGAGAAGAGAGCAGCAGAGTAAGAGAGCGGGACACGGGCTCAGCTGGACCGCAGGAGGGTAAGCGCTGTTTCCGCCTTTCTACTTTCCGCTGTTAGTGAACACCAGCCTTCCTGCGTGTCCTTGATAAAAGCAGCTCCGCTCGCTGGTCTCTCCGCGAATGTGCGACACACGCAGACAGCGCGGTGGCAGCTGAGAAACAGCAGCGCCGAGTGCGGAGCAGATCAACACTACGGCTTTACCCAGCCAGGAAACTTAACACGTTACATGTCTGCCTCCCTCTCCATAATTACTGCAAATCCAGAGTAATCTACCCGCAGGATGTTCTCAGCCCTCCACAGCAGTTAAACAGCTTTATATTCAACTAATAACCGCGTGCCATCTGTGACATTTGAGAAGATAATAAATAAAATCATAGTGTAATCTGATTAAAAATTATCGAGGCTGTTTTTGAAAGTGCCTTTTAGTCTTTCATCTCTATCCATCCACCATCTATTCATCTGTCTGTGATCCATCCATCCTATGTAAAACTGCTGTCTTTATCCAGTGGCTCAAGTTGTGAGGTCCGGAGGTCCTCCGGCTTTGTAAAGCTCTGATCCGTGTTCAGAGTTTGTGCACTGTAGTAATCTCATTAAAAATATTTACTCTTTCTCACCTTCTCTGTGTTTGTGCATGTGTGCGGTAGAGAGAGAAAGCAAGAGAGAGAGAGAGAGAAGGATGAGGGATATAGAGTCAACAGTCTGAATAAACAGTGGCTACAGCTGTCCATGAGCTGATAACGCACACATGCAGAGAGAAGAGACAGAGAGAGATGATGATGATGACAAAGATAACAATGAGAGGATGGCGTGCAATTTTAAAACGCTGACACGATTTCAGACAGATTCAAATTGTTATCTTTTGATCCAGAATCCCAGGCAGAGAAGAAGAGGCGTGATGGATTCCCCTTCAGAGTTTTTCCAGCAGCAGCAGCAACAGCCGCAATCCCATCCCGCCTTTGACCTGTATACTCGAAGTCCGTTGGAGTCCACTTCCACTGGCCCTAGTTACCCAGCTAGTAGTCCAGCCACTTACCCCATCATTTCTCCCCTCCTGCACCCCAACAGCGCCTCCCAGAGGTGGGGTACATATAAGCAGCGGCAGTGCTTGTTCTCTGAACTGCCAGCTTCTGAGGACGGCCAAGAGGAGGATGTGGAAATGCTGGGGAGGAGAGCTGCAGAAGGTGCAAGCCAAGTTCCATTAGCCAGGCTTGGCGAAAGAAGAAGAGTTTCAGTCCCTGAGTCTTGTGACTGGAGCCAGGATGTGGTAAGGGTGAAGAGGCTTAGAGTGGACAATGTGCTGAGGAGGAATGGCGAGATGGAAAGGGAAGGGCACCGGGGGAGGAGGAGGATTGCAAGCCGCAGCCTACAAGATGAGAAGAGCAGAGAGGAAGAAGGGAAGAGGAAGGAGAGTAGGGAAGGAAGGCGGCGGCAGCGGCGTGAGCTGAAGCTCCAGCTGGAGGAGACCAGGGGAAGGCTGCTGGAGCTTCAGCGCAAGGTGTGGAGAGCTTATGGAGAACAGCAACTAGAAGAAGAGAAAGAAGAAGGAGGAGGAGAGGAGGACAGAACCATGGATGAGATGGCTGAGATGTTCTCTGAAGGAGAGGGGGATGATTGCCCAGCAAATGGACTCTCCCCAAGTGTGTTTTCTTCAGAAAGAAAGCATGAAAAGCATGAAAGCAGCCAGAATGAGAATTCTGAAGAATTTCCTGAAGAAGCTATGGACTTGGATGTGGAGCTGGATGGAGGAGGAGTGTGGCTGGGCTGCAGCTTGGTGCAAGGTGAATGGGAGAACACAAGTGGCAATGAAAAAGAGAAGTTTGCTCAAGCCCTCAAGCAGGAACTGGCCAATGTTGTGGCTCGGGTCATCGACAGGGTGGTCCGCCTCTATGCTGAAAGTGACCAGTCACCAACCCCAGCTTCAGTTCTAGCCCAAGAGACTCCTGCCAGCAGGGTATTGGGTCCAAACCCACCCAAGAAGCCAAGGCTTGGGTTTGGACCTCATGCCCTACTGCCTGGAGGAGCGCATGTGGTAGAACAAGCCGAAGCACTGCCTCTGGTCGCAAAGAAGCTTCAAGACAAGAGGAATCCTCTAAGTCAAGGCAAACACAAGCACCCCCTGATCCCTCCACAAAACCCTGGCTTACCTTTCCTACCCCAGCCCCCTCTCCCTGCACTTTTACCGCCCAGGAACAAAGAGCCTTTCCTGCCCTCCTGCCCTCCGAACCCTCCTCCGCTCCCCTTGCCTCTCCTGCACTACACCATGCAGCACCTCTTCACTCGTTCTCTCTCCAGCATACCCCTCCACAAGGATGGCCTCTCCAGCGAGCCCTTCATGGAATTTCGCACTCACAACCCCTCATTCCCACCCTTGCCACCACTGCTGGCCCAGTTAAATCCCCCTCTCGTGGACAGAGGGGTGGATGAGGGGATGAGAGCAGGAGGTGTGGGAGGAATGGATGGAGGAGATGTGGCCCTCTATCTTGGTGCTGGATCAATATCCTTTCACTTTTACAGGGGAGCCGATAAATATACAAGCAGAAATGCTGCAGATTATACTTCAGTCTGGAAGTTATCTGCCTCTGTTGCCTTTATTGTAAAATTATATTTTTCAGCAGAGATTGAACATAACAGTGGTTGCTAAGTATTAGTGCCTACATCATTTCTGATATATTGCTGGTATTGATAGTGGAATTTAATACCATCTAAACTGTTTCATCTGTTTGAAGGTTAAATGCAAGAATAGATTGTAGTGTTCTTTTGTTCTTTTTGTTTTTATAGTTTATATTTGAAGAGATTCCTTCAGAAACATTATAGACCACTTTTCTTTTTTTCATGATATACGTTGCTGGGAGTGGGCTTTACACATCCAAGAAATATCAGTGCTGTATTATCATTAATACCACCTTTAGCAGATAAATGAAAATGTGTTTTCCATTATACGTCATACGTGTTTTCAAAAATGTGTTGCACCTAAAATTGATACAAATCGACAAACAGCATTTTGGAATGAGCCTCTTAATTTCTTGTTTTTTTCAAATCCATGTGACAATAAGCACCTTTTTATGACTGCCTAGAGCCTATACCTGAAATATTACAGTATTCAGTACAGCTCTAATAGCCTATTCTAAACAGAAAAAAGTAAATGTCTGCTGCAACTTTAAGAATCAATATGTCTGCACCTATATCTAAAAAATAATAAAAAATAATAAAATAATACCTTGGCAAATTAAAACATCTTAAATCTAGTCAATATCTAATATTTCTTATGATGAGATTGTTGTAAGAATATAATTAGATTTTTTAACTTATTTCAAATTTTCTACATGTTTTAAGCAATTTTATCTACAAAAATTGTTTTATTTTACACAAAAAGACAGTTCCTCAAGGGTTCCTTAGTAAAGGGAATGGTTCTATTTAAATTCATGAGTTCTGTTTAAATGGTTCTTTGCATAGTGAAATGGTTCTTCAGATTGATGTAGAATGTGTTGTATATGGTACAGAGCCTTTTTGAAAATGGCTCAATATAGAACTTATGGTTCTAAAGACAGAACCCTTTACTAAAGAACCCTTAAAGAACCATCTTTTTAATGAGTGTATTGGGAGATAATTGTGCTTGTTTTAAGACATAATGCTAATAATTGTGCTTGTTTTTGGATTTTATTCACTATATTACCAAAAAAGTAATGTATAATGTGTAGAAATACATTGAATAATCTTATAATAATCTAACAACAGACTCATAATGAAAATATTAGATATATTGACTAGATTTAAGATTAATTTACTTTACAAAGATTAAATGTGAAGTATCATCAAGCTGTTTTTTCCCACTCAGATTATAAATCATTATCAATTCCAAAATTTCCCACATTGTTGTAGGTTTCTAATGATTTGTCTGACTGCGTTGATTGCTTGAGTGCTTTTTCTGTCTGTCTCAGTTAAATTCCCTTAACCCTCTGAACTCTCAGGAGGGTCTCTCTCCATGCCACCTGAAGAAAGCCAAGCTCATGTTCTTCTACGCACGCTATCCCAGCTCCAACACACTCAAGACTTACTTCCCTGATGTCAAGGTGCTTCTTTATTACTGTAGGCGCATGTATTTACAGCACAATAATACTGATACGAAACAGCATTAGACATAGGTGGATAATTATTACTGGGCATTCACACATTTATTAGGCAGGAAATGACACAGCCATACTATAAACAATTACGGCAATTAGATACTTTTTCCCATTCCTGTTGAACTATTCTGATTAATGGCAGTAGTGACGTACACTGAAAACAGCGCGCTGTCGTATACTGAATGTTTCCAGTGTAAGCTGTGCCAGTGTGCATGTAGTTTAACCCAATTAGATGATGTTTCAGAACATTTACTATGAGTCATGGTTCACCTTTGCTGTTATTTCTCTCCACAGTTTAACCGCTGTGTCACCTCCCAGCTCATCAAGTGGTTCAGTAACTTCAGAGAGTTCTTCTACATTCAGATAGAGCGGTTTGCACGACAGGCGGCTCGCGAGGGCCTTCCTGCCACCAGGGAGAGGGCGCTGCGCCTGGGCCGAAACTCAGAACTCTTCCGCATCCTCAACATGCACTACAACAAGAGCAACGACTACCAGGTTGGAGTGTGTTTGTGTGTGTGCACTGCAAAGGTGTGAATGTGTGTGTATGCTATTGTTCAAAAAGTTTGGAATCATTTATCATATTAACAATTTTTGTTATTTTATATATAATAATAACTGACAAGATATAGATTTAAATATTAGAAAGTACACACCAAATGTATTTTAGGAAGTTTTCGTCAATATTTTAGTCCATCCTCTCACTTATTTAATTTTCAGTCAAAACAGATATAAAGTACAAGTTATTCATTTGTCAGGAAAAGAAAGAAAAATACATAGATTTAAAAGAAAGTTACACAGAATACTCAACAACTAAATATAATATTTAATATTTAGCTTTTACTGTGTCCATCCTTTGCCTTTATTACAGCTTCCACTTTTGTGTTTCAAAGTTTTTCTAAGAAATCTGCAGGGATATTTTTCTACACCTCTAAAATTTAGTCCTAGAAATTGGTTTGCATTTTGTGCTTTTCACAATCCAAGTATCTTAATTACAAGTTTAAACTCCTCAGTCCATAAATCCTCATCTCAGATTTCCAGTTATGGGGTTGTAGTGCAATTTTGTTTCTTTTTTGTCTATTGTCTTTTCTCAATACCGGCTTCTTGTCAGCATTACATCTTGTCAGACCAGGTCAAACCAGATGCAGCCCTGCTGGTGACATCCCATATAAATTACAATAATGCATGCCACAGCTTAGTAAGTGTGGGAACAAGATAATTAAGTCGTGTCCATGAGTTACTAAGGCATGGGAATGAGACCACAGCTTAATAAGACATGATCTCGTTCCCACGCCTTACCTCATGGCCACGACTTAATTATCTCATTCCCACGCCTTTCTAACCTATTTTTATTTATTCAGGATGTCACCAGCAGGGCTCCGTAGGTCTCCTGTAGCAGTCCCATTATCTCTATATCTTTTAATATACATTTTTAAATCCAGTTTTGGAAACTACTTTTTCAATTGTTTTCTTCTGACTTTCCTTTTCGTAATGCAGGTGGATTATCTTATATTGATGATGCAAAAGCAAAGCAAATTATATAAGATGATTATATGATTTGAGTAGTTGATTCTTTGAATGTTAGTGTCTCTTTGAAGGGAAACTCTTGTTGGGAGGACACAGCTGTAACTCATTGGTTTTAAAACTGGAAGGTTGAATGAGTTGAAGTGGCAGCAGAGTGCCCAAAAGTAAAGAGTGGACACATGAAATAGTGATATTATACTTTTGTCTGTTTTGATATTAATTATAGTTTCTTAACACTAAGAAAATGAATTTGTACTTAACAGCTGTTTTGACAGAAAATTCTATACCCAAAAAGGTGGTTTATAACTTTAGCATAGTACTGTATTGTACATGCAGCCCAAGTTCTTAAATGGCAAATAATATAGTCTAATCACCTATTTATAATATATTTTTCTTATTTTGCTTTCAACACATTTGAAATATGAAGCATTGTGCTGTAACTTGTATTGTAACTTATTATCATTTATAGATTATATTAACAACTTCCAAAACGTACTATTTGAAAAATGTGAAGTTGCACAGACTAGCATATTAGAATCATGATTTTATATTATTGAATTGTATTTCCCAACTTTTCAATGGCATTTTGTGTGTGTGTGTGTGTGTGTGTTTTAATGTCCTATACTCTGTCCAGGTGCCAGACAGGTTTGTGGAAGTGTCTGAGTTGGCTCTAAGAGAGTTCTTCACTGCCATCCAGAGTGGACGTGATGCTGACCCCTGCTGGAAAAAGTCCATCTATAAGATCATCTGCAAACTGGACAGCCCTGTGCCTGACAGCTTCCGCTTACCAGGCTGCCCCATGGACACACACCGCATGGTCTAAGACCAGTATGGGCAGCCACACACACACACACACACACACACACACACACACACACACACACACTTCATAGCTAAAGGATTAATGTGGGTACATACACCGACAAAACACACAGGGTTAGAGTTGATATCACACACACACACACACACACACACACTCTGAGGATCAGCACTGACGAATACATACCAACACACATACACACGTACCTGCTAAATATCATACAGGCTCTGACTGGAAGCACACAAAACTATTTATATAATCTAAGGAATGAACAGTATCTATGTGATAGTGGTCTGCTGCCTTCCAGTTCCAATGGAAAGAAATCCATGTGGCACTAATACAGAGGTCAATGGCCTTGTTGAATGTACAAAATTATGACTAGGTCACCGAGAGGTGTTAGAATTTTGCTAGTACTGTTTCAGAGAGATAATCATTATTTGGAGATATTTAAAAGGTTTTTCTATTTATCTGCTGAAACCTTATTTTCATGTAATTATCAAGAAAATGAAGCACTTAACAACGGTGAGCCCATAGGCAGTCTTTTCATTGTAATTTTATATTCAACTTGCGTATTTGTCATGCTGTTTTGCATATTAAGTGTTCATAAGGCTTTGCGTCTAAAAACAATGTGTGAAATTTTGATGTAACAGTGCTACCTGTAATTAAAGTGATTGTTCAAGCACTTACAGAGTAGCAGTGTTTTATCATGGAGAAGTACAGTTACAGAAACCTCCTTGTCAACTAGAAGTGTGTTCTGGAGAACCTCTATCATATCTCACGCAGAGATCAGTTAAAGTGTGTGTGTGTGTGTGTGTGTGTGTGTGTGTATGTGTGGTCTCTGACTAAGTCTAACCGCCTGACAGGCAGGCTGGGTCGGTTCAGGGCGCTGGACTAACAGCTTCACGCTGGCAGTGCGCCCTGTGCTCCTGGAGCCAGTTCACACATGGTCTCATGCACTAAATCATGCACTGACCTATAAACCTTTTAGGCTCCTTCACTACACTATACAGATTCAGCCAGGAATTAAAGGAGAGTTACACTATTTTTCCTAATGCTTTGCATAAATAAATTGTTTAAATGTTATCTAGAGAAACATATTAAATCAGAATTGTCCACAGTGGTGGTAAAAGGAGCCAAAAGCCTCAAGAGTTTCATGCCTCTTAATGGTACATCACAGAAAGTTATTCTATGAAATGGCTACACATACAGTGAATGATGTCTGAGACATTGTGTATGATAGTTTTAATGTAATGTTTTAGCCTAAAACTTTTTTAAATGCATTCATGAGAGATACATTTAGGCCTAAATTGTTTCAAATTTACCACTGTTTTACCACTATTAAAAGATCACATAAAAACTCAAGACACACATAGGTTCATTGGTCATTTTGGATAGCAATATGGCTGAATTTGCATTGAAGACATCACACCCCCTGGTTCCTTTCACCACCACTGTGAAAAAAATAAGACAATAAGTTTCTGTACAATGCATCATTTCACATCAAACCACTCTGAGTGACTGTTTTCATCTCAACGAATGAATTATGCAGGAATATTAGATGGAATTTCCCTTTGACCATACTTATATCACTAAATCAAAAAAATCAACAGCAAATCAACCATCAAGACAGATGTATTATTGATGAGGGTAAACAGAGGTGGGCAGTATGTAGTTTACTGTTACATGAAAATAAAGAAACTTTGAAGTGATTTGTACTTTAAAGAATATTTAGATGTTTACACTTAAGAACACTGTAATAATACCATCATGCCTCATAATACCACCACTGTCCCATAATACCAACACTGTCCTAAAATAAAAACACACTCTTGCAATACCAACACTCTCTCATAATACCAACACTGTCCTAAAATAAAAACACTCTCTCATAATACCAACACTGTCCTAAAATAAAAACATTCTCTCATAATACCAACACTGTCCTTCAATAAAAACACTCTCTCATAATACCAACACTGTCCTAAAATAAAAACATTCTCTCATAATACCAACACTGTCCTTCAATAAAAACACTCTCTCATAATACCAACACTGTCCTTCAATAAAAACATTCTCTCATAATACCAACACTGTCCTTCAATAAAAACACTCTCTCATAATACCAACACTGTCCTAAAATAAAAACACTCTCTCATAATACCAACACTGTCCTAAAATAAAAACATTCTCTCATAATACCAACACTGTCCTTCAATAAAAACACTCTCTCATAATACCAACACTGTCCTAAAATAAAAACATTCTCTCATAATACCAACACTGTCCTTCAATAAAAACACTCTCTCATAATACCAACACTGTCCTTCAATAAAAACACTCTCTCATAATACCAACACTGTCCTTTAATAAAAACACTCTCTCATAATACCAACAGTGTCCTTCAATAAAAACACTCTCTCATAATACCAACACTGTCCTTCAATAAAAACACTCTCTCATAATACCAACAGTGTCCTTTAATAAAAACACTCTCTCATAATACCAACACTGTCCTTCAATAAAAACACTCTCTCATAATACCAACAGTGTCCTTTAATAAAAACACTCTCTCATAATACCAACACTGTCCTTTAATAAAAACACTCTCTCATAATACCAACACTGTCCTTTAATAAAACATTCTCTCATAATACCAACACTGTCCTTTAATAAAACACTCTCTCATAATACCAACACTGTCCTAAAATAAAAACACTCTCTCATAATACCAACACTGTCCTTTAATAAAAACACTCTCTCATAATACCAACACTGTCCTCTAATAAAAACACTCTCATAATACCAACACTGTCTTTTAATAAAAACACTCTCTCATAATACCAACAGTGTCCTTTAATAAAAACACTCTCTCATAATACCAACACTGTCCTAAAATAAAAACACTCTCTCATAATACCAACACTGTCCTTTAATAAAAACACTCTCTCATAATACCAACACTGTCCTTTAATAAAAACATTCTCTCATAATACCAACACTGTCCTTTAATAAAAACATTCTCTCATAATACCAACACTGTCCTAAAATAAAAACACTCTCTCATAATACCAACACTGTCCTTTAATAAAAACATTCTCTCATAATACCAACACTGTCCTTTAATAAAAACACTCTCTCATAATACCAACACTGTCCTTTAATAAAAACATTCTCTCATAATACCAACACTGTCCTTTAATAAAAACATTCTCTCATAATACCAACACTGTCCTTCAATAAAAACACTCTCTCATAATACCAACACTGTCCTAAAATAAAAACACTCTCTCATAATACCAACACTGTCCTTTAATAAAAACACTCTCTCATAATACCAACACTGTCCTTTAATAAAAACACTCTCATAATACCAACACTGTCCTCTAATAAAAACACTCTCATAATACCAACACTGTCCTTTAATAAAACCACTCTCTCATAATACCAACACTGTCCTTTAATAAACACTCTTATAATACCGACGCTCTCCTATTATACCAACACTGCCCCATAATACCAACTCTTTCCCATAATACCCACACTCCCCTCTTATACCAACACTGTCCTTTAATAAAAACACTCTCTCATAATACCAACACTGTCCTATACGACCCCATATATATATATATATATATATATATATATATATATATACACACACACACACACACACACACACATATATATATATATATATATATATAAATATATATATATATATATAATATATATAAACATGTTCTTCCTCCTTTTTCTCGAGTTAGGCTTTAGGCTGCTCTACCCCCTCTGATGGTAATCCTCATCACATGATTTTTATGAACTCGTCACCTCTGCATCCATTTCCATACCGTGTGTGTTGGTGCGCGCGCGCCCGCCCATGTGACTGAATGGCTCGCGATGGCGCTGCCGCGGCTGCTGCTGCTGGAGCTCGCGCTCTACGCCTGCTGCTTCATCTGCGGGATCATCACCGCCGCTTCAGTCACAATTTCTCAGGTACGCGTGGAAAACTGTGACTTTTTTACTTTTACCTTTTCCGTTAAAAGCCGCGGCTGTTCTGCCGTAACAGTTTGCTGAACACGACGTTTCCTCTCTGTCAGAGTTCACGCAATGAAGTTAGCCTGCCGAACTGTGCTGCACTCTACTCAGCTCGCGCACTGCATTTCAGCCGTGCAAGGCGTACTGTACCTTGTTTTGTGGATATTTTGCTACAGAGAGACTGGCCTGCTGCTGTAGTTCATTTTTCAGGAAACTTTCTGTACCCACTCTTCGGTCAGCTTATTTTCAAACTGAAAAAAGTTACTTCGATACAGGAGATACATGGTCGATTTTGCGGTTGTATTTGCCTGTAAAGGTTCTGACCCTTTTACACTTTCATAGGTCTGTTCGCAGGATGAGCTGACGGAGGACAGTTTGAGCTCCATGAGAGTCTCTTCGTGTGTCATATGACGAGTGATGAAAATTTTCAGACCGTGTTGGATGTTTTTAACTTAAAAAGACGATTGAACAGTCACGTGAATGTACAATGCGCATGATTTTATAAACGAGTGGTGAGAAAAATGCGCCATACATTTCCTCTGAAAGTGTGGAGAAGGTCAGAGGGCAGATGTGTTGTTAAAAGTAAGACCTGTGTTTCTCTCCTTCCCTTCCGCTGTTTTTAGCACTTCTGCCTTTCACTCGGTCATGTGACCAGCCGTCCCTTCGTTTCTGTGTAGTAATTGGCTTATTGGAGTCAGTTGAGCACAGAAAAGAAAAGTGAGAGAGAACTGGAGAGTGGGTGTCAGCTTTCACTCAGTGACTTTACTCGTTTCACCTTGTAGACACAGGGGAATCCCGAACTCCTCTGAGACAGAACTTCATGTTAATGTGCTTAGATGAAGTATTACAGATTTCTAAGCAGATGAAATGCATCACTGGATGTGACTCCAAGTCATGCAGCATTAATAAAGCACTTGCCTGTGCAGACACTGTTTCTCTCCTTTAGTGGGACAAGCAAAGAAAGTAATTTGAAAGGTTTTCAGATTGGTGTCTCCAATCTGAAAACCTTGTTCCAAAAAATTGTTCCCAGCATTAGCAGAATTGGTTTGAAGTTGAATTTGTTTTCTTTCAAAGTACATGTGGAAGAAAGGTGTGCTGTTTGAATCTGACTGTTGAGACTTCAATGCATTAAAATGGTGTACATGTCCAATACTATTACTATTAGTATGATGTATAAACTAAATGGAAATGGTTTCGTGCATTAAACAACTATGACACATAGACAAAATATCTCTACTAGTAGGGCTTGTGCTGGAATCAGCCATAAAATAGGATATTCAAAAGCATTTCTTTCTTGGGTAATGTCATGCTGTAGCTAAAGGTGGAGAGCCTGAATGATATATTTGAGTTAAATAAGATATTTAGGTCATTCTTCCTCAGTGAATGAGAGAGGAACCATTTGATGCCGCAACAAAGATGGCATCTACTAGTGCAGGGATTTTGTCTAATTTGAATAATATATAAAGTATTGTATGGGTTTTTACAACATATTTTAATAGTTTTAGACATATACACCAAAGTGAGGTTAGAGAGATTACACAGAGATTACTACTCAGGGGTGCACAACTCCGGTCCAGGAGGGCCGATGTCCAGCGTAGTTTGGTAGATCCCCTTCTCAAACATACCCACTAAACCTGTCTGTTAACAGATGAGTAATGAGCTGTGTTTGCGCTGGTAAATCATCAAACTCTGCCGGACACTGGCCCTCCAGGACCGGAGTTGTGCACCCCTGGTTTAACTGGTGGTGGTTATTTTTTGTAGACCCTTTTCCTAATTGACACTAGGGTTTTGTCAAAGTCTCTCTCTCTTTCTCTCTCTCTCTCTCTCTCACGCAGGGTGATTTTGAAGGGAGGTGTATGCTGTATGGCGCTGTGCACTTGAATGGTTCAGACTTCACCGTAAGCCAATCCAGCTCTCCCTCAATCTGTTATTTTGTGTCTGCCATCTCCGTGTGCGTGGCCATCTTCTGCTTCTCCTCCCTCCTCTACTGGGTCTACACAAGCTGCATAGACGGAGACATTAAAAGGTTAGAGGCCATATAGTAATTCATTGTTAGTTAAGGATTAATTTGTCCCATTATAAAACCCTAAGCATTTACAGAGATTCATTTAGAGAGACTTCTTCCTAACTGACTGTTCAGGAGATTTTTAGTACTGCATTCAATAATGAAATGATAGAGATTTAGGTTATTTTTGAATGGCTCTACCATCATCTCTTTCTTCTTCAAGAGAGCGTATATGGATGAATTTGTCTTTGGTTGTGTGCGGAGTCTTCCTCTTCTTCCTCCTGGTGACGGGGTGTATCCTGAAAGTGGGCCGAGACAGACTGTGTGAATCGGTGCTCCATGAAGGACGAAACATAACAAAGTGAGAAGAATGTCCCTCCTGACTGGATGAGAATTTTTTATAGGAAGACTATGATTGGTTTGGAAGTTTTGTGCTCATTGGGAGATTAAAACTGTAGAAAAAAGCAAAGGGTGTGCCTTCAGTCATGTGATGCATGGCTAATAACCCATTACAATTGATGTATACAGTAGGCATGAACTGGATCAGTGTAACAGCTGCATGACTTCTGTCACTTGTGTGTTTGCAGGTGTGATGAAGCACAAAGTAAGCCGTGGGCAAAGCCTCTGAATGGGAACAGTTTCTACTCCAGACTGCACAGTGCTGAGGTATGTAAAAACACCCATGCGTGGGTCCTTTCTCTATAAATATTTTATTTTATTTAAAATGCATGACCAGAACCCTTTCTGCATTCTGAAATCAGTCAGTTTATTTATTTTTCCTAGTGTAGTAAAGTATTCTGTATTCCATATGATTGTTCTGTTATTGAAGTGTTGGATGAGTGTGTGTGAGGGTGGAGCTTTGAGGTTGGGGAAGAGTGTGTGGGTGTAAGGGAGTGATGCAATTCCTCAATTGGTGCAAAACCTCAGATGAGACATTGCTGCCTGAAATAAGTTTATTTTTCGCCATTTAATAAAGGGATGTAGTACCCGCTCAGGAGGCCAAGACCTGAAATGATTAACCCAGGTTTATATAGCTGTGATTAATCCCTGTGCATACGCATGAAAGCATTTATGATGAACAGTCAGTCGTGTGAAACATGAGGAGTCTAGCATCTTGTTTTACAAAGAAGGATAAAGAACTCATATAAAAATAGACAGTATAGCATTTATTTAGATTTGTGTTCTCCACTTAAAAGCAGTATTTTTCATGTTATTGATGCCACAAACATCACAAAGAAAAAAAAAAATTAGTTGGACTAGAGGGTCCAACTCTAACAGAAGGCTATCTCTGATTGGTCAGACGCTGATTGGTCTTGGAGCAGGTTGGGAATACAGCATGAGTTGCTGTGGTGATTAACCTGATTAAAAGGAGTCCACCTTCTTGGGACAGAAAATCCAAGGTTAGATCAAATTAATATTTAAGTTAGCTGGCTAAATAAGAAATCCTCCTCTGTGAGACAGATAGACCCCTACTCTTAGGTTTGTCCTACCTGTAAACTTTAATGTTATCCCTGCTTTCAACACATCTTACTCATCAGCAAGTTGACAAGACCTTCATGAATAAAAAAAAAAAAACAGGTTTGTTAGAATAGAGAACCTTCATTAGAGTCTTCATTTCCATAAAGCGATGTGATGTAATCTGTTATATTGAACATCAGTAAGGTTGTAACATCACTCACAAAATAATGAAAATCTAGGCTTTTCTAAAATGTAGTCCATTGTGGCCACATTGTGTGTAAAAAAATACAAATATTTCATTTATTTAATGTTTCATCTGTAGCACCACTGACAGTCTTCTTGCCAAAAACTGTCAGTTGTTTTAGCCAAATTCATCTGAAAAATAAAAAGAAATTTCACAAACCATGGACTTCTCAGAGTTAGTCTTTCTTCCTTTGAGATATCAATAAAAAGCTTCCTGTTTTTATTTATCTTTATTAATTTATTATCGGTATAAATGTAAGTTTTATTATCGGTATAAATGTATATCTTTAAAATAATTTAATATGTGACAATAATTTTAATGCATATTTGCTATTTAAACTGAAAACTAAGCATCCAAATTATTGTTTTACATAAAAATAATACTTCAGCGTCTGTGAAGTTAGTGCTGTGACATTTATGCCCAAAATGACTAAAGCTCGCTCCAATAAAAATTAAAAAAGAAGTGTTATAGTTAAAAAGATCAACTTTCTGTGGTCTATTTTTACAATGCCGTTTCCAAAAAAGTTGGGATGCTGTGGAAAATGTAAATAAAAATAGAATACAATGATGTGCAAATCATGTAACCTCAATATTGGAAATAGTATAGACACAACATATGAAATGTTGAAATTGAGAAATTTTGTTTTTTGAAAAATATATGCTTGTTTTAAAATTGATGGCACATATTTCAAAAAAGTTGGCACAGGGGTATGTTTACCACTGTGTTGCATCACCTCTTCTTTTAACAACACTATTTAAGCATTTGGGAACTGAGAAGACCAGTTACTGTAGTTTTGAAAGTGAAACGTTTTCCCATTCTTGCATGATGTAGGATTTCAGCTGCTCGTTATTTCAAGGTCTCCTTTGTCGTATTTTTAATTTTGTTATGCAATAAATGTTTTCAGTGGGTGAGCTGCAGTCAGGCCAGTGTAGCACCTGAGCTCTTTTAATACAAAGCCATGCTGGTGTAATATGTGTAGAATGTGGTTTGACATTGTCTTGCTGAAAAAAGCCAGGCCTTCCCTAAAAAGACGTTGTCTGGATGGCAGTATATGCATCTTAACTTCTAAAAGACTCAGCCTTTCTGGGATGCTCTTTTTATACCCAATTGTGTTACTGACCTGTTGCCAATTAACCACCAGATGCTTTTTTTTAGCATTACACAACTTTACCAGTCTTCTGTTGCCCCGTCCCAGTTTTTTTTAAATGTGTTGCTGGTATCAAATTCAAAACAGGCATGTATTTTTCAAAAACAATAACATTTTCAACATTCTATATGTTGTCTTTGCACTATTTTCAATTATATATTATAATTCCATTATATAAATATAGGGTTCAAATGATTTGCACATCACTGCATTCTGTTTTTATTTACATTTTACCCAGCATCCCAACTTTTTGGGAACAGGGTTGTATTTTGGACTAATTTTCATGGCTTCAAAGTTGTGGGTCATCATTTGTCACTGCAAAGGTAAAATGATCCGTGTCTTCCTCTTGGCCTCTTTCTCACTCTGTTTCCAGACGGCAGTGTGGGTGAATTTCTTCTGCTGGATGATCATCGCTGTTCTGGTGGTCCTGCAGCGTAGGGGGGGCTCTGAATGCAGGTCACGGGAAGAGGACCCTGGGGCCAGTTCTTCTGAAACTGAGCCTTTCTTCAACCGCCCAGGACACCCTCAGTGAACACACACCCGCACCGAAACATCAATTATGTGAACCAAACACACACACACTCACACACACTGATTACTCACAGAAATGGATGAATACAGACACATATTCAGACACAGTACCGGTGGCTAGCTGAAGGAACAAGCTTTTGGCTACACCGGTCAGTGCCTTTAGTTTTGCTCACTAGCGGTATCAAGGCTTTGTTGCCATGGTTACTGATCTGCGATTGGCAACAGTAGCCTGGCAGTTACGAGGGTGTGGTGGCCAGATTGGTCTCTCTGACCTGCGCTGATTTAGACACAGCTCAAACAGCTCAAATTTGACTGGATTATTGACTAGACTCTCTTATATGCACATGTCGGTGTACACATATCACATCTCTTGTTGGCTTTGACTCTCTGAAAAATGCCTGTGATGTGTTAACATTTCAGAGATGTTTTTTTTTTTTGACAGTGTTGTAAATGGAATATATAACTGAATGGAAATAAGTGTTATGAGATTTACCTTATATTATATGTTATATTTGCTTTGCTGGAACTTTTAAAGTAGTTTTTTTGTGAGGACTTGTGTGTTTGTACAACATTAGCTCCCCCTGCTGTCTGCTTTTATTACTTGCTGTATTGAAATACTATATCTACACTTGGGCCTCTGTTTTGGCTTTATTTCACCGTTTTGTGCTACTTTTCAGTTACATTCCTGACTCTGAGAGTGTGTAGACTCAGACTTTATTGTCTTTAACTAAAAGAATGTTTGGGAGTGAATAGGTGCATCTGAAAGTGCTTGAGTGGCAGTATTTTGTTTGGTTAGTGATGTCATTTGTGATGGGACTGTCCTACACGCACACAAGGACTGCAGAAATGTGTGTGCATGTGGAACACCACAGTTTGGGCTGACAGGGTCATAAATCTACCCATAGGCTTATGATAAGACCTGTCTGGTGTGGGCTAGGTGCCAAAATCATGCTGCTGTCCACAGCAGTAAAGTACTCAAAGACACAGTGTCCTTCCTGTTGTCCTCCCACACAAAGACAGGCTCTGCTTTATCTGTTTAGTGCCTTATTACCAATATACTCTTACATCAGTGTCTTCCTTTCTGTTACCATCCTGATTTACATACTTCATCTCTCTTCATCGTCCCATATTGTTCTATGCAATATGTCACATTTCCATGTGTTCTGGGGGAAAAGCTATATATATTGTATTATTAGTTAACATTCTTTCTGCACTGATTTTTATTAAATGAAAATGTTAAATCTTAATCGTGGCCTGTTTATTGGATTACAATATGTTTTGAATAACGTCCCTCACAAAAGGCATCCTATATCTTATTATACTGTACCTGTTGCAGGGGCGGGTATGTGGGGTGGTCTGGGATAGCAAGTTATTTTGGTTGAAAAGTAGTGTTGGGCTTGTTTTCAAAAACTTTGTTTGCACTTAGTCATGATATGGAACATTTGATGACATTGGATCTTCTTTGGCTATTTCAATAGAACAGTAATGAAAAGCTTTCTTCCACATTCACAAAATTCTGACCACAGAATCGAAGTCATTACAGAGTCGTCCCAATTCCCTCCCTGACCAGCTGTGTGTTAAACATGTTTGCGCTGTCGAAACAAGCGTGGGTCTACCTGAACCGCAGCTAAACTGTTGCAAAACTCGATGTACATTCAAATGATGTGATAATCTGACAAACTAAAAACACTGTTTAATAATGTGGCATATTTTGCTTTTTTAAAACGATAATTGCAGTTTTGCATTGACTTACATTGAAAGTAAAGTATGTTTCTTTCTTTTCCTGTGAGGTTATCGATACAATATATATATATATTTTAAAGCACAAATATATATATATATATATATATATATATATATATATATATATATATATATATATATATATATGTACATTTATGCACTATTGGGTGTGCATGCAATGATATTTCCACAGTTAATGGGTGTTAGGAATGACTTGAAGCAGAGGTCCATGTTCTCCATAACGAATGCCTCTCCTGATTTTTTGCTGTAATGAACATTAAAATTCTGTCCACAGCAATCAAAAACATGGCCAGTTTTACATTGGCCTATAGGAAATTACTTCTAAAATCTTATTTTTGTAAAATCTCATAGCCCAGCCTTTTGTCCCTACTCTTGTCAAAGTCGGTGCACACCACTGGGTCTATGTGTTCTTTTTTATTTATTTTACTTGATTGTGAGTAGTTCTGTGTCTCTTAAAATGTATTTAAAAAATCTAGTAATCAAACATTCAAAAATGTGTATGTTTATAATTACATTTTTTATGAAACTGAACTGAACTGTGTTTGAATAAACAATATTGCTTTTAATTAAAACTTGCCTGAAGCCCATAAAAAACCACAATGGCAAAAGGTATATAGGCTTAAGAGTGGAAGACCAAAATATGTGAGCTGTAGATGAGCCTCGATTACAATCATCTTTCCATAAACCTCGGTAAAAGCATATCTGTAGCAAGTTTAAGACCCTAATTAGACCTCAGCTACAGCGACATCTGCTGGCAGATGTTTGTTTTTTAAATGTCACAGCATTTGGGTCAGTGGCGATTGTAGGATAATTTTTGAAGTGGGGTCATAATAGGACCACAGTTCTTGTTCTGGCTACACCCTTGTTGTATGGTCAAGACCACCTTTGTTGAGTCTAAGTCCAAGACCACGAGTAGTCAATCAAGACCCAGTCCGAATGAGTGCAAGACCAGATCAAGACCAAAACCCAAAAACGCGAGTCTTATTCAGAACCAAGCCTTAATTAGTGTCACATCCCTTAGTACCTTTAATTAGTGTCACATCCCAGACTCCACCCACCTCCTCAGTGCTCAGCATTGCAGGCCTTCCGATCCCTGGCCCTGACCCTCTCACCTGGCCCTCATCAACCCATAATTTTAAAACCTGTGTCTTTCAGTCTGTCTGTTTTTTTGGATTCACATGCCTACTTGTTTAACTGGGGTGGCCAGAAGCGTGGCTATGCTTCATGGGAGGATGGCACACTTGGCTCCTGAACAAGCACTGTGGCCCCATTATGGCTTCACTTCCTAGAAACGCCACTGACCCAAATGCTGTGACATTTAAAAATTATACATCTGCCAGCAGATGTCGCTGTATCTGAGCTTTAACTGAGGTTTATCTTAAACTTGCTACAGAATATGCTTTTACTGAGGTTTAAGGCAACATTATTATAATTGAGGCTCATCTACAGCTCACATATTTTGGTCTTCCACTCTTGAACCTATATGCTTTTCTCCATAATGTTCTGCAGGCTTCAGGCATGTTTTAATTAAAGGCAATATTATTTATTTAATCGCACTTCAATTCAGTTTTATGAACAAAAAAAGCCAATATAAGCCTATCTGTCCTGCAGTGTTCTGTTTGCCAGTGTTTTGATCTAGGCTGTTTTTTTTATTTTGTGCCACTAAAGGCATCTGCACAGTATCATCAGTCACCCTCACTCCTGACAATTAGTCTTTATCTCCTCCCAGCATTTTTTCCTGCAAAACTAAACTGTATGTTCAAATTCCATCTGACTCAAATCATAATAAAATGTCTCCTCATCTACCTACAAACAAAAATGTGGTATGGACTAAAAGTTTCTGGACATTGAACACTTTGAATGAATCCAACCAATGGTCATATCTTGAAGCCTTTGAGTACATTTAACAAATGTTATATCATTACAAATGTTATATCATTATGTAATCACTTTTGCTACGAATTTAGGATAAGTCCACATGCAAAGTTCTGCTGATATCTGCATCCCAAGGGGCTTCTCTGGAAGACTGTAAAACGTTTGCTTTACTCCTCCTTAGATGAACATCAGAATAAGCCTGCTCTACAGCCCTGTGGTTTCTCAGTAATACACACATTAAGTCTATGTGTGTCTGCAAGTCTGGAGAAGCCTGGAGATCTAGACTGGGCACTTAAATACATAAAGTTATATAATTTTGGATTCTGATAATTTACCTTTTAAAGTTTTCCAAAAACATTCAACATCACATCATATCTCATCCTTATAACATCATCAATATGATCAGCAAAGGATTTACACATGGAGAACACAATGTAATTACAGAAGTGTTAACAGTTTATACATTTCATTTTTAATAGGCTCCTCTGCTTTTCTGATTAGCACAATGTGGTTAGAATACTGTAAATATCTGTTTCTACTTTATTTTAATAATCTAGTTGATTCTTAACTATGATCAAAAACTACTGTTTCATGAATGGTCATGATATTAAATGTATCTCACAAGAAAAAGGTCTTCTTACATCACATGATAACTTGCTTAATCTCATTAACTACTGTAAGAAGTAGCCGTTTGTCACTGTAGTTATTTGTATTTCTTTCAGAATGCTGTCAAGTTAAATTACAGTGAAGTTGTGATGTTTTTAGTTTATCATTCACAAGTTACATTGTATTGATCAACAGGTAAATATATGCTAGTACAAGAACATAATGTAACAATCAAAATGTAATTGGTCAGATTGATTACAGTATATGCCAAAACATGTAGAATTTGAAATAAACAAGCAAATTATGTTAATTATTACATACTGTCAGAATAAAATCTCATATCTTCAAAATGTTAACTTTACAGAAGGAAAAAACTTTCTATGGACGTTAAAGCAGGAATGACTGATTACAAGTAATTTTGGATCATGTTTTTGTCCAGTCATTATGATATTTTGACACAACAGCAACTAGTATTTTCAAAATATGTCAAAAAATAAGAAATATCAAAAATGGAGATACCAGGTTTTTTTTTCCCAACAGCAAGAATATGATTTTCTCTCTGTAACCGTCTGTTGCCAAAATAAATTTACATTGTAAAAAATGGTTCATTAGATCAACCTAAAAAATGACTTCATGTGGTAACAAACAATTGAACTAGTTTTATTCAACCCAAACAATTACTTTGATTGAAGTTTATTTAGTTTGAATAAAACTCACACATGAAGTAATTTGATGAGCCATTTTTTACAGTGTATAAACTAATAAACTTGAAAAAGTAATATAATTTACATAAATCAGAATGTATGGTAACAAATGTAAATGTACTAATCAGCTAAACACACTGATGAGTAAGCGCTTACACATTATTCACAAAAATTACATTCATTCTTCACTGAACAATCATTTAAAAAAAATATATAAAAACAATCAACAACAGTTAGTATTTGAGTCTGTAATGTTACTGTGTGCTGATAAACTTCTTTCAGGGAATTTTCTTGACACGTGTAACACGTAGCTTAACAGTGTCTGGAACGATACTGTGGTTCAGTGTATGTGCAAACTGCTGAAAGAAAAGTGATGAGAGTTAATCATGAATTCAAGTATAAATTATCTGTGGTATTAGAAGTATACTCTCATCTGATATGAATTAGAGAGTCATGTACATTGTATTGTTCACAAATGAAGTCTGGCCATAACAAAAATAACATTCCTACTTCTTGTAAGAAGTTTTCAATCTCAGACTGTGTTAGATTTCTAGTAGATCTGATTTTGAGTCGCGTTCCAATCAAAGCCACTGAAGAGAAAAAAAAAGAATATTTTAATTTATTTAATTTCACTTTTATGCAAGCTATTATTACAGTGAAAATACAGTGTATTTTTGTATAAACCTTTGGGGTATGGGGTATAATGTGGCTGGGAAAATCTGTTTTATCTTCTGTGATATATAAGACTCAAAGACATGCAGTATCTGCAATACCAGTGTTTTGACTGCATTTGTGCCACCAGCCTTGTATCAAAACACTGTTAACGTGTAGCTATTATACTTTGAGTCTATTTTTGCTGCTTGCTGTGAGCAGCGTGCCACTAAAAGAATGTACAAGATACAATACAAAGCCTCACTTCTCACTTGCATAAAACAGTTAAAGGCGAAAAGGACAGGCAGCCACATGATGGATGGAGACAATCAGGAAACCATAAACAAGCCATTAGGCAGCCTAAAGACCCAAACAGTCATTAAGATATTTCCTGAAAAAACACTATATGGTCACCGTAACTGTATTTATTTAATGCCTTTAGACTTTTTAAATGATTTAGTTAAAAAACATAGTAGCAAAAGGTAATTTGAAAAAAGGTAGTAGCACTGACAACAGAACAAATAATTTAAAATATACACTGTAAAAAGTGGCTCATCAGATCTACTTAAAAAATTACTTAATGTGGTAATACGCAATTGAACTAGTTTTATTCAACTAATGAAACTAATGAAAAAATCCTTCATTCAAAGCATTTATTTAGTTTGAATAAAACTAGTTAATTTACTTGTTACCACATTTAGTAATTTTTTTAAGTAGATCTGATGAGCCACTTTTTACAGTGTAGATTTATTCTTGTTAGAAGCAGTTATTTAGCTAGCGATCGCTAATGTTCACTAAAGTTAGTCAGCTTGGTAGCTAGGTAGCTAAAATATCATCTCTACAAAGCAGAGAACTATGTAAGTAAATGCAGGACCAAACGTTGAGTTCAAGGATCAGCTAATATGACATTTTTGGAAGTTGCTAGAATTGCTAGAAAACTATCTTTCCTAATTAACTAGCTACTAAATTTGGCTATATTGCTTATCTTAACTATCTGCTGTTAGTTAACCAGGTGCATAACTAATATCCGCTTAATTAGCAAAATTAATTTAACTTATTCATCTTCAAGGCAGTCAGCTAGCTACCTGAATAGCATGGTAAATTAGCTAGCTGATGTAATAAAAGTACATTTTAAACATTTAATTTCAGAAATACTGAGTAACTGCAGTAAGACAGTGGCACTGAAGCAGAAGCACAAACAGCACAGAGAAACACAACAGCAAGATACACACAGCAGAACACAGAGAATATTTCTAATGTTCATGTAATACATATTTATTAATGAACATGTTGGAGCCTCATTACTCATAGTAATTTATTATGCTGATGTAGTACTATAGATTTGTACTAGGAACTAAACCAGGTTGTGTTCGAATTTGATCTGGATATATTTTAATCAGTGTGCTCATGATATCAATCTGATTCATGATCAAATTACAAATGTCTGAAAATAAAAATGAATGTAAAACAGTGTACTACATTGTATTGCACTAAAATAGCTGCCTACATTTCATGTATTTTAAGTATGTCTGATAGTAGCATTTGAATCATTGTGGTGAAGTGTCCATTCCAGTGTGGGTTCATTTGTGGACAGAACCTTATAAATCTAAACTTTAAGCGAGCTCTCAGAATTAAAAGGTTCTGCGTTTGGTCCATCATAGAAAAAGGCTATTTCCAAATATCCTTTGATTCAGTGGTTAAAAGTATCTCGAGGCAATGACTTTGTTAGGCTATGAAAGCTAATTGTCCTACATCAGAGTTGTGCTATTCGGAAAGTGAAATCTTTGATCCTCAATATCTTAAAAAACTGCACTGAACGCAGACAGAACCTTATAATTCTAAGCTGCCGGAATATCACATTACAAATTGACTTGACAAAGAAGATACTTTCCTGTGGTGGAATTTATGGTTGATGTGACTGTAATAAAGACAAAAATGGTGTTAAATTTGTACTGCAAACACGAACACACAATGATACATATTTTTTGTGAGAATATACCATTGTATATGATTTAAAATTGCTTTGATAAAGAATACAGATACATACCTGTGGTGACACTTTATCTTAAACTTGATTTAAGATAAAACAACTATATATTGATTAAAACATACAAACAAAAGCTGTGTGATAAACAGTAACGTTTCTAATGTCTTTCCCTGATTCTGATGCTTTCTCGTCTCATTTTCAGTTTTTGTTTTCCTGCTCCTTCCTTGTTCTGCTCTTTTGTCCCTCACCTGTGTCTTATCTGTTACACTGCCCTGCAACTGTGCTCATGTGTTTCTTAGTTTTTCTCTCTATTTATTATATCCTTGGTTTTTGTCTCGTGGTAGGATAGCAGCCCTGTTTTGTGTTGCCCTGTTAGGTGTTCTTTTTCAGTCATTTGTTTTCTTTCAGTTTAGTGTCTAACTATCCATTGTTCTTTGTTTCTGTCTAGTTCTTTTGTTTGATTGTTCTCGTGGATTCCTTCTGTTATTTGTCTTAAAAATGTTGTATATAGACACACGTAGCATAAGAAACAGCTTTGTGAGAGAATATACACACTAACCTGTAGTTAAAGTTGTAGTTGGTGTTACTGTGGATAACAAAAAATTAATATGTACAAAAATACACACACAAAAATAACACACCCACACACACAAGCTGGTTTTCAGTCTAAACTCAGAAACTGATAAACACCATCATGTCTATCTGCACTTTTAGACGGAGTAAGAATTGTCACATTACAACAAGTTTAAAATTAAGTTTAATCATTTTTTACTGGAAGTATAGTAAATGAATTGTGATATCTGATGTTTGCACAGTGCTGCACATCATTAGAATATATTGTTATACAACATCCGAAATTGCTTTAAGAAAGACGATAAATGCTTACCTGTGGTGGATGTGGTGGTCGCTGTTTCTGTGATGTGAGAAGAGCAGAAAAAAAGTTAAGGTTGAGAAAATAAATGTAGCTGATTGTAGTTAACTTATAAGTGGAAGCTGTAGAGATATATATCTCATCCGAAAATACCAGACTCTTACCTGTGGTGAAAGGTGTGGACAGTGTTACTGTAATTTGAAGAAAGCATTGGTTTAAATTTGACCTAAACATGTAGCACATACAGTATATAGACATAGATGTATAGACATAAGAAAAGTCAGACACTGACTTTGTCTGTCTGCTGTGTGTCTCCTATCCTGTCATTTCCATTTCATTTGATTGGAATGTTTTGGCTTTTTTTTATTCTGTTTGTTTTGCTGTTGTTGTTTTGTTCATGGATTTATAAGTAAGTTTGAGTTTAAGAAATGCAATGTTTAAATAAACTGTATTCTTCTTCTTCTTCTTCTTACTATTATTATTATTATTAGTAGTAGTAGTAGTAGTAGTAGTAGTAGTAGTAGTAATAGCAGTATTATAAGTATTCTTATGATTATTTACTTCTAACTTTTCTCATGGAAACTTTACAGAAGAACAAAAAACAATTTTAACTTTAAATGTAAGTTCATTTAACAAAATTTTTTCCAGGTATTTTTGGATCATCTATTTAGCTATCTATCGTGAAATGCTCACACAGTGCGAAGAGCACCTGATTTTCAAATTCTAACCATAGATTCTCATAGATAGACAGATATATTCAGCTAAAAAATGGAAAGGAAGGAAACTGTGACTAAGAAACTAATGTTAATAAACTTTCTAAAGATAAAATTTCTACAAAATTTCTAAAGATAAAAAAGACTTTTCTGCTGCGTGGAAGTAACCAGATTAAATCATTTATTCAGCAGCACTGGCATATTCTAAAAACCAAAAAAAGTGATTGTCCCTCTTTTTTTCTGTCACTCAGGTGCCCAAAAATGTCTATGATGTGGATTACTGTAAAGGTTTACCCGGAGTAATGGTGGTAGCTGATGTAACTATAATGTGTAAAAAACTGTCAAAATAATTGCCATATTATTACCCCCCCCCCACACACACATTCTCACTCAAACTCATAACAAATTATTTCTACTGTAATTAATACTGTATTAAAATCCACTCACATCTGTAGCAGATGAAGGGGTATGCAAAATTACAAGGAGAATCATTCCATAGACCAGAATAATACATCCACATTGCGGTGCAGTGTTCATTTCCTCCCATATTATTTGGTTCTCCAGTTAGCCAGTTCCCGTAAGTGGAGTTGCTCTGGTCTGACCATAGTCTAGTTCTGTAAAGACCGATCCAAACTGCTTGTCCTGCTGCTAAGTTAAAAATCTGTTGATCCTCTGTTGCATTCCTGATGCTGACCAGGTCTGTGTAGTACTGTCTGCAGTACTGACGAGCATCAGAGACATTCATACTCAGACTGATCATAATATTACTGTTGCTGGACCCTTAAATAAATAAATAAATACATAAATAAATAAATAAATGAATAAATAAATAAAAAGTTCCTTTTAGTCTACAGGTAACATTAAGCCTCATTGATCGTGGAAGCTTATAGGATATTATAGTACAGTAAGTACAGCACTGTGCCAAAAAAGTGCATTCATTTAACATTTAATCTTTACACAGATGCTTGTAATTAAAAATAACCTATTATAATCTTCTGGATTTTATTACAGTTTCCATCACTTATTTTTTTTTTTTTAAGAAACTTGCTTTCATTTTTTTAAAGAGGATATTTTTCCACACCTCCAAGGAGAAGGTGGTTGCAGTTTCTGCTTCTCTAGATTCAAGGACTCCCAAACTCGTTCTTAATAGCAGTTTTGACTGGAAATATATGAAGATTTTTGCACAGTACTGCATATATACAGAAATATATATATATATATATATATATATATATATATATATATATGTATAAACTCACCATTGTAACAAATGAATTTTGCTAAAAGGTTACAATTCACATCATTCCAAAATCCGTTACTCATCATTTGTGTACACATTTCTTTTCCACCGTTATTATCTGGTGCATTTGAGCCCCAGTTCCTGTAATTCCTCTCGCCCACCCCATAGAAAGCATCATCATCCAAATACCATCTCCAGCTGTTCTGCACATCCTCATACTGCCCGATCCAGATTTGAGAATTATAGCTGCCATTTACAGCAGCAATGACGCTACTTTGGTCGTTATCATTCTCAATTGTGGCCAGGTCAATGTAGCTCTGTCTGCAGAACGCCTGTGCCTCAGTCCAGTTTTTATTCACATTCACAAAATAATACTGACGAGAAAGGCAGGAGGAGAGGGTGAGGAGACCTGCGGGTGACACAGACACTGAGTTAGAAAAAGTTGACAAACATCAGTGGCAGCCAAATTCAGACCTTTTGAAAATCTGAATATTAGTTCTAAAGGCAACTCTTGTAACGTATTAGAGCATATAAGGAATATTTGTGTTACTGTGAGGCAAGTAAAATAAAATATAGATTAAAACTCACTTGAGAACAGGAGAAGAAACATAATTTTTGATCTTGACAAGAACATGATTGTTGATCTAGACAAATAAAAGTACACAGAAATAAGCACCAATACTGATGTAAACATGTCAATTGTGTTCAAAGTTGCACCAAAACAGCTAATTATCGCCTTTTGTTTGAATATAAAATCAAAAATTAACTTACCCAATAGGAAAGCTCAGGTCAGATGTGCCTTTTTGCTGGATCTTATATATAGTGGAAAGAAGAAGCAGTTGGACTGCTTTCAGCAAAATACTTTCACATTTATACTCACTTTATCTCTCCATCTGTCTTTCTGAACACGCCCTGCTAAAGCTAGTTTTTCCTAGACCTGTATGTTTTATTATGGAATGCTTCAATGCTTGAAATATGAATTGAACTACTATTTCAAATGTTCTACTACTACTACTACTACTACTACTACTACTATTATTATTATTATTATTATTATTCAGGCTCTTTTCATACACGTAGCAGCAGTGCTTTACAATGAAATAGAGATTTTTAAAAATGAAAAGCATAAACATAAAGAATAGTAATAATACTAAACAAAGTAAAAGTTAAATTAGAAAGATCCACTAGGTTACATAGGTCACTTGCAATTTCAAAATTTTATCTATTTTATCTATCAATTTAAAAAATTTTCCTATGCTGATAAATGCTGGATGTAGTAAGAGGTTCCACTGCAGTACTTAGGACTTACAAAGATTTTTGACTTGCTACTTTTGTATTTCTACTCACTTGTTTTGGGGAGGGTACTTTTACTTACTTATTTTATGCAAGTATCAATACTTGTACTTAAGTATCAATTTAGGCTCCGCTCCCCGCCTCTGAACTTGATCACGAACAGTGTCAGTGTTTTTTTGATGCTGCTTTAGCAGGTGCAGCCTCAGATAACAAACTTTGTTAGCCAACATCTCTGAAGAAAATGTGCTCTGGAAAAACATTTTGAATTCTCTAGTGAATTAGCGCGGTTCAGTTGTTTGGTGCTGTCTAAATGCGGGTGGAGTTGCATGTCAAAACCAAACTAAAGAAAAAATTCAACAGTCCGCACCAACCAAGGCAGGTCTGAAAGCGTGTCCCAGCTGAAATGAAGATTCTGATGGGATCCACTGCTGAGTTTTACTCTGCCTGTTCCTGCTGGTCAGTGCTTCATGCAGTTAAGTGAAATCAGAGGTTTTTATGTCATGTCCTGAACTCAAAAATTAGTGGGGTGTCGCCACTGTACTTCGAAAAGCAGTAGGTCAAATGCCTGCTCACCACCGTGGTTCCGGCGGCCCTGCAATAGATCAGGATCTTGTGATCAACATTATTGAATCCTGCATTAAGATCCAGAAGGAGAAGAATGGATGGTTTACCAGAATCAGCACTAAGCCTAAGATTCATTTACAACACGGAGCAGTGCTGGCTCTGTAGTCTGTACTGTTAGGAATATAAACCTGTCTGGAATTATTATTAGATACCAACCATACATTTAGTTGTTTGAAAACAGTCTTCTCTAAGATGTTACTTTAAAATCGAAGGTTCATTACTGTGTGGATAAACTGGCTCTTGTCCTTCCTCATACTTTTTTAATCTTAAACTGAAAGGAATTTAAGTGGTACTTGGGTTTGACATTGACTAAAATCACCTTTCATGTCATGCTAAAGACTGTCTTTATAAACCTATTCAGAAGTGAGTAGTAACTAGTTACATTTACTCAAGTACATGTACTTCTGTAACATACTGATGGATTTTTACTCTTCTGAGTATTTTCAAATCATGATACTTTTACTTCCACTAAAGTATATTAGTGAGTAAAGGAAGCTTTTTACTCTGTTACATTTTAGCCATTCATATTTAGATACTGATTCCATTTTTTTTGTGTTTAATTTCAATATATTTTGTTGGAGGCAATGTATTGCTTTATGATTGGTTACACCTCTGACTTTGGAGTTTTTATTTTCAACCTAATAATCCCAAAAGAGAAGACAAGAGCTGCATAATCTTGAGTTGCTATGCTGATATATGCTGGATGTAGTAAGAAGTTCCATTGCAGTACACAGTACTTACGTAGATTTTTGTCCTGCTACTTTTGTATTTCTACTCAAGTTTTTCTGGGGAAGGTACTTTTACTTGTGTAATTATTTTATGCAAGTATCAATGATTGTGTATGAGTATTGATTTCAGTAGCTGCAGCCTCAGATAGCAGTATTTGTTAGCTAACCTCTCTGAACAACATCAGGCTGTTTTCATACCCAGTTCATTTTTTTAGAAGACCGCATCACAGTTATTTTTTGTGATATTATATCTCTTGCCTTTGGTTCGGATTGTGGACTGTTCTTTTTTTTTATCAGATGTTTTGCAGGGATGCAAGCGCTCTGTTACTCTCACAACCACCACCATGAAAACCGAAAATCAGAAAATACAGATGCTTATCTTCTATGGGAATACAAATTTAAATTTAACCGATCATGTCGCTGATGCTTGGCCAAAAAATTCGCTTCATAATCCATAATCAAACGCAAATCATTATTTTATTGCTTTTGTTATTTACAGCAGCTCGTAGTGTAATAATAATGTAAATAATAATAATAATAATAATAATAATAATAATGAGCCTAGGAACAACAATACAACGCTTTGGGTTGCAAGCACTGTAATAATAAGACGTGGTAAACAGTAATTCTTAATCTTAATTTACACAAAATTCAATGTTTGATTTGTCGTTTAGTGCACCAAAACAGTTACCAATAGAGACAGGCAATCACAGCACATACATTTATAAAGTGAATAAAAAACAATTTAATAACCTTTTTTTCATGAATCTATTGTTTTTACTTTTTATTATTTATTTTTGCTATTTATTTATTATGTGTTTATTCAGTAATGTATGAATTTAATTTAATTGAATCTAATTACATAATCATAGTTGTACTAATACACACACACACACACACACACACCCACCATCTAAACCACTTATCCTTCTGGGTCACGGTGGGGTGCTGGAGCCTATCCCAGCTGTCATTGGGCAGAAGGCAGGAGACACCCTGGACAGGTCACCAGTCTATCGCAGGGCAGGCAGACAGACATACACATACACACACCTAGGGACAATTCAGCATGTCCAATCATCCTGACTGCATGTCTTTGGACTGTGGGAGGAAACCAGAGTCCCCAGAGGAAACCCACACAGAAAACATGCGAACTCCACACAGAAACGACCCTAGTCGCCCGGCCGGGAATCGAACCCAGGCCATGCTTGCTGTGAGGCGACAGCGCTACCCACTGCGCCACCGTGCCGCCCCACAATAATAATAATCCTTCAGTATGTTCACAAATTGTTGCTGGGCAGCTTCTACAAACAGTGTGATAATTTGAATTACACGCTGGAGATTTGCTTCATTAGGGTGCCTGCGCAGTCTTGCACGTCCCCCCATCCACTGCATGAGAAGCCGATCAGGAAGTGACATGACTGACCTCATCTGGTCTCCGTTGGACCCAGCAGGATGACTGGGTTCAGTTTATATATACCGTCTCTGGCTTCATTCGTTTTTGATTTTGGCTGATTTGATGGTCCTCATGGACTACAGATGACTGCATCGGTGGGGTGTAAAAACACTGCTGTCAAGTCGGACACATTCTACTTCCCCTGCTGAGCTCACAACAATGTTCAATCTCACAGCGTTTTTTGGGGCAGAGGAAATTGAAGTGCTTGAAAGTTTACATTATAAATATGACACACATCAAATCTATGTAATGTATTATGAAAACATCAGGGGTGATGGATTAAAAAAACCTCCTAGAGCCACACTTTTAGAGAGATTTTTTTATTATTATTTCTGTTATATTAAGAACCATATACTTGAGAATAAAGTAAAAATTACAACATTACAAAGGTAACCATATTGCCAAGAAGGTGACAAGAAACCTAAAGAACAAATTATGGGCATTATTTCTTTTAAAATAACTCCTGAACTGAACTGTTTTAAAGCTTTTTTGCTGGAAGAAAAAACTGTAGTGTGTGGTGGCCATGTGTAAAAAATGAGCTGCCAGAAGGAGGAAGTCAAATAATGGCATCCCTTTGGGAGAGATAGCAACATTAGATAATGGATCTTAAAAACGTAACCTATGTGACACATGCGTCATGTTTGTCATCAGAGATTCCAGCCAACAAGGGGTGATGTTCTGACATCATGAAGACGTGTTGTAGCTTGTGCAGTGGATGGTCCGCCTTGCTCCCGCAAGATTGTAATGTCAGGTGACGTGGTGACGTTCTGCAGCGCCAGAGAAAATCACACATCATTTCTAACCAGCATGCACTGTTTTAAGTCCAGCATGCATCACATTAAGGAAATGCTGTGCAGAGCCGCATTAAGTTGACCACAACTAATGTGTCCGACATGATGGCATTGTTTTTATACCCCACCCCGCAGTCATCAGCGGTTCACATTGACCATCCTAAAGTCAGGCTAAGTGGAAAATGAACACAGCCAGTGTTTATGAATTGTCTTAGCTCGTGTTCACAATGCATTAGTTAGCCACTGTGACCTCCTTACATGGTAACACTGATGTAAGGAGTGCTAGCTAGTTAGCAAACTGCACCTTTCGTTCATAAAAGTAAAAAACTAGCCAACTTGCAAAAAGCAAAGTGTGCAGAATTAGTTTTATTTTAATGTTATCAACATAACTTTGCAAACACCAGCTAGTTTGTTCACCACTAGTGCTTTTTTGCTCAATTCTGTCAAGGGGATCTTAATGGGTTCCTGGACTCCAGAGCTCCATAGCCTAATGCTAATAATCATCATCTTCACGTGCCTGGTCTGCCAGATGGCCTGTCCAGCCATGATTTCATACTAATACTTTACTGCTGAGATAAATAATATAAATGGGAGAACCAGGCCTTATAGGGCTGCACACAATAGTGTGGATAGTGTTAGCATACTTTTCTAACAGGTTGAAGTAAGGAAATGCCCAGGCCCAGATTAGGTCTGTAGCAGAGACGTGTACAGATCAGCAGTGTGTTATTTTTCATTGTATTTTTCATTATTTTCATTTTGTATTACAAAAGGTTCCTAAAAAGTGGAAACATTTGATAATAGTTCCAGTGGCCAGTAGCAATAGCCGAAAGTAAACAATTTCAGACCAGTCACCCTTACTTCTTTAATCATGTCATGTTTTAAAAAGTTAATTGAAAAAGAAATTCCAGCATTGAGGAATTGAAGATGCT